CCATCTCCATACACTACTGACTATGTTCCCCGTATCCTCCTCTCCCCCAACTTCCTTTCGTCCGATCCACCCCGCCTCCAACGAACTCCTCGATGGTAGATGATATACATACTCTGTATCCACCGCGCTGGCCGCCATAAATTCATGAACATTTCAGATAAGCAACTTCAGAAGCAACCATGCCACTTACCATCTCAGTCATGACCACCGGCTGAACTAGGCTGCGCGCCAGGGTTGTCTTCGCTTACTTCCAGCTTGCTGTCAAGGTTCCCCCCTCCAGCCCCTTAATCTGGCTGCATCCGCTGGAGGTGCAAGCTGGACAACGAGCCGCGCGATCCGAGGCAGCATCCCTGTTTCATAGCGACCAGTTCTAAATACACGTGCATCGTCGTTATCTTGGCTTTGCCTTCCGGCTAAGCAGAGGAAGGGCTTTTTTTTGGGTTTCTTTCTTTTCTTTTTGCTCTAGTTGGTGATGGTGGGTGGGCTGGATGGTACGGAGTTGTTCCTTTCATGTGGACTCTTGCGTTGGTGGACGGGGGAGAGGGAGATTATTCGGATACCCCGTCGAGATATACTTAGGTACGGAGTACTTCGCTACGACTTCGTACATGCTGGCTGTGGCTTTGGGTTAAGGGCGGGATTTTTTTTTTTTTTTTCGCTCTCTCTCTCTCCCATACCCTGCTTAATCGCTGTTCTTTAGTTTGATGATTTATGAGGGACTGGGAACAGGCAATGTAAGTATAAGGTGATATATCGATATTTCTCTTCCCCCCCTTCACACTATATGAGATATAGTTAACATGGGCGTATGTGTAGCTATTCGATTATAGCTGATATACTGATATATGGATGTACTCCATAAATGAGAAAATATATGCACGAGAAAAGAAAAGGAAAAACAAAGAAAATGGAGGTACATCAGGTGTGAAAATGCAAATCCCGGTTCCTGAACATGTGTCACTGTAACTTGTTATCGTATAGCCCGTCGGATTCTATATTTGGTGCAAAAGGTAAAAAAAAAAAAGACGATCGAGAATTTTTGGAAAAAGAAGAAAAGGGACCCCAGAGAAGACAGATGCAAAAGTGACCGGTGCGGCGGGAGGAACGTGCTGGTTGTTTGGCCTGTTGGCTCTTTAGAGATGAGAAAAGTGAAGGGTTTAAAAAAGAAGTAAAAAGAAGAAAAGAATAAAAGCCTAAAAGCAGGTACATGTCACCGATAGGCTGCTGTCGAACAAACTTGACAGAAGTATAAAAATAAAATAGTATAGGGGGGGAACAAAAGCTGTGCAAGATAACAGTCTTCTTTCTTGTGGGGCAAGACACTAGTATAAGCTCGTATTCTCAATATTAAGTTAGAGCGGAAGATGAAAAATAAAGAGACAAGAACAAGCAAGGGAGTGACTTCATGTAAGTAAAGCTTTCATCATGACTTGCATTTTCATCAGACATATCGATAAAGATGGCAGTTGAGAAGGGTAAAAGGACGACCGCGCGATTGGTGCGGGTGCGGTCATCGTAACTCGGACATATAATTCTTCTTTCGGTTAGGTGAAAAGAAAATTGGGGTGGGAGATTGTACCTGTCTGGTCCCCGCCACGTGGGAACCGCAGGACGAAAAGAAAAGAAACAATTTGTCCAAACGGTGTCTCGGGTCGTGGTTGATCGATGGGACCTGGAGGTTTCGTATATCGCCATATCTTATCGCCTAGCCGTTGAGGCTCGCGAGTTGGGGATTGATGAATGGATGAAGAGTGGGACTGACCATGCGGTCGATAAAGGACGTTAGGTTGAGGTGGATTCCCATACTCACGCTGCTGTTGCGATTGCCGGTTTGATCGCTGGTCAGCCAGACGCATCTTCCTCTTTTGGTCCGGCAGCATCGGCAAAGGGAGATCGGTGGGTGACTTGAGATGCGGCGGAGGGGATAGGTACCTGGAGCAACCGAGGCGGTTGGATAGCTTGCCGGTCTTGCTGGGTTAGGCGAGGGCATTGGATGATGACGGCTGCAGCTGTCGGCCGTGTTCATGCACGCCATAATCCATAACCGACATACCCGCACTCGTGCAGCATAGCGCAGCATAGCGCAGAGCATGCCGTCCAGTCAAGCGGGAGGGACTAAGAAGACCCTTCCTCTCTCCTGGTAGCATCAATGCGATATGATGTCCAGCTGCGGGGCGTTCACAAGCACCAGGCAAGGGGAGCTTTGAGCTAGGATGAGCTTCTTAGGTTGGTTGGACCAGCGGCTCCGTCGTCTCAGCTCCCCGGAACCCGGGAGAGTGTTTCTTTTTTCCCATTTGCTTTTGGGTTTCGCTTTGCTTTGCATCCTTGGGTCATTCAGGCTACAAGAACCCTGACTCAGTGAGCAGTCTACATTGAGAAAACGGGGAATCATTAGCTGATTGGTTAATTCTTTCAGGCAGGTCAATCAAATCGTAAAAAGCGCTGGAAAAACACAACAAAGCCACGAACGAAAATTCCCATCTGAAGGTTAATCCACAATCACGGAGAAGCGAATCAGAAGGTATCGCGGCGAATAGGAAGGAAGAAGGGGGAAGGGGGGGAGGGAGGGGAAGAGAAGGAGGGTTTAAGCAGTTAGGCAGCGAGCAGCAGAGAGGAACAGCACGTCGTCGAGGCGTGAGATAATCCTGGCCATGTCAATGTAATAACGATCAACTAGGCCGACTTTTTGCATTTCTTGCGGGCTTTCTTTTTTCTTTTGTCCTCTTTTCTTTTTCTTTTTTTTTTTTCCTTCTATTTTTCCACATCCATCACGATACTTGCTCTTGTTCTAGCGCCCTGCTTTTGCAATTATTTGCGCCGGAGATGGTGTGTATCTGTGCTTGTCGCATGTCGCATTTGCTTTTTTTTTCCCTCTTCTTCTCATTTGCTCTTTGCTGGTCCCTCTGTGGGTGCTGGCTTGTCCGGGGGAGGAAACTCAACCTTCCCTTTCGCGTTGGCTGCTGGGGCTGGGGAAGTCGATGCGTCGCCTGTGCCACAACTGCTTTCAAAAAAGTCTTGGGCAGCGTTTCCGAAAGGCCAGCATCGCGGCACGTGGGGGAACCCAGAAGGCGCATCGCAACAACAAAGGAAGAAGCAAAAACACACACAAGCACACCCGCATAATGGGTGTTGCGAGGCAAAAATGGAGGTGATGGGAGGATGGAGGAATACTGAAATGGGGAATTGGGCTGACGTCGAAGATAGGAAAGGGTCCAAAAAAAAAAAAAAAAAAAAAAAAAAATAGTACGATGAGGGAACAAAAGAAAAGAAAAGAGTACAAGATGGAGCAAGAGCGAGGGTCTGGGAGAGAGGGCTTGGAGGGAGGAGGTCATGGCACGATCAATGTATGCCAACCCACAGGGAGTGCAACGGCCGATGGGTCGTAGTAGTGTTTACCATACCTTGCAATTTTCTCGTCTTCCCGTTCTCGGGGCTCGATTTCAAGACTGCGCTCGTACATGTCATGCACATCGCCTGCTGCCTGCATGTTGTTCAACACGTACTCCTGCAGCTCCGGCACAGGAATAAGCTGGTAAGGCGCATTCTGGTACTGCTGGATATCGCGGATCACCTCTGCGGTCTTGGTGCGCTTATTGAAGTTAATTAGATCTGATTGAGTGAGCGAGGGAATGCCGTCCTCGATGAAAGTGAGATCAGTGAGGTAAACACCTGTGTGCGCATTAGCCATGGCGCTTTTTCGACGAAAACGGTAGAACAAAGAGGGGCGGAAATGAAGGGGAGATATTAATAGTTACCGAAGAAGGGGATGCAGGGGGGATTGGCGAGGTGAAGGGTTTCACGGTATTCGCCAAAGTTCTTGGTGCTAGCCATGAGTTTGCGGATCATCTCAAGGGTTCCTGCAGTTTTCTGGCTGACTTGCGCCCATGTACGAGCCAGTCGGTGAATTGGCGCCGTTCCAAGCGCAGAGATGATAGATGTCAAAGTAGAGTAGTTGTTAAGTTGTCGGCATTTCTATTTTCAAACTTCGTTAGCATCCTTCATCATATGCGGTATGATAGAATAGTCACTTACATCAGCAACGGAGACAAAGTGCTTGATTACGACGACTCGTCTCCTGACGTCCGACTGGGTCAGAATCATCTCGGCCACCCAATTGGTAAGCTGGTTGGAATGTAGAATAAGAGCCTTGACGTTTGGCGCCGGCTCGGCCTCGCCTGGTCCAGCCTTTTTCTGCCAGGTCTTATTCAAGCACTCCGTCGGCTTAATCTTAGCATATAGCCGCGACTCGATGATGGTCAATTGACGGGCAAACTCGGTTGGGTCAATGTCCAGGAATTTGATCTTCTTCATGTTCTTGGGCGTGATAGGGGTGGGTGCATTAGAGCTAATAGTGGGTACCAGGCGTTTGGCAGTAGTCTCTTCTCCACGTAGGCGTTGCTCTATCAAGCTGACTAGTTGTTGCGCGCCAGGCGTCTTAGTCGATGCAACTGCCTCGGTAACGAACGAGTGTATACGGCCTAGTAGATGAGTGTTTGCCTCATCATTTGGCTCCATCCAGAAGTTCTCGAACCAGCTCTTGAGGATGTTGACCACGCGGATTCGGATGGGTATCTGTTTTTGTTCGGTCCATATTTGTAGCTCTGCTTTGCTCAGGCCGTAAGGAGGCTGGAGTGTGAATCGATGGACCACCATTTCAAACAGCTCTGAGGCTGTGGTGAAGGATCTGTAGGTGAGAAGGAAGGTATCTTTGAACGAGGGATCAAGCTTGTCATGGCGGGTAAGCTGTTCGACCAGGCCGGCCAGTGTCCCGCACTTGAGCTGCTGTACGTCACCCTTGACATCATAGAACACTTCCGCCTCGTGGTCGAGTTTAAGGAACCATGGGGTTTCTTCTGGTTCTCTGGCAGAGGTCGGTTCTCTGGGTACGGGCTGGCCAAAGAACCGTTGCGCCTTATCCAGAGATCGAGGTGGCTTATCAAGGTCATCACCCACCCCATAGCTAGAAGGTATGCCAATAGATGATGGCGGACTCTTACGTACCTTGGGAGTAGATTTATTATATCCATCTCCATTTGGTATTTGCTGTGGAGCTTGTTCCAATAGTAAGGTCAACGAGAAACCGATCTGTTGAACACAATTGGTAAGTTGCCTCGACATCATGCGGGTATTATTCAGTCGAGTCTCCAGTGAATCTCCCCTAATTTCGGCCCACTCGTCACCTAGCGGGGCCGAGATGTGCTGGCAGCTCATGACGAGATCCGAAATGCTGTCGTACACGCGCTGCTTCTGGACACTGAAGTCCGCCAATTGCGGGTTCTGGAGATCGGAGCCAAAGTGTGACAGGTCGATAGACTCGATGAGCGCCACCCATGGGCGAAAGTTTTCAACTATCGGCACGCCAGCTTCGCACACAGCGTCACCAATCTCGGCATGGCTTTTTGGCGTTACAATTTTGCCTTTGAAGGAAGAAAGTTGCTCTTCTAGCCTGCGAGAGCTGGCAGCTAGCATCTTGCGAAGCTCTTCGATTCGCTCTAGAAGCTGGGAGTCAAGCGAGACGGACGGGGTGCGGTGAGATTCGGAGTCGTGCTCGAGGAAGGAGGTTGGGTCCCTTCGAGCGAGATTGTTGTTCTGCCAGTGACCGCCAGATGTGCTGCCGGCAACAAAGCCAGGCGTTAAGCGACGGATATCGTCTCCGCGCTGCTGTTTGGCCACTTCGACGTAGCCATAAACGCCCTGTAGAACGCCCTCGGCTTCGTGTAGGCATTTGGAGGCGGAGTCTGGTCCCGGCCAGTCTGCGGCAGCAATATGCGAAGACAAGACGAGTTTGGAGAATTTGGACATCATGTCGCGGAAATGAGGGTAGAGCGCCTTGTTTGTTGAGATGATCGACGGATTCCCCGAGTGGTTATCGGTAGTATCAGAGCCTGCAGCCAGAAGCATCCGTAGATGGTCGGACACATCCTCTGCCCTGCGGACGTACTCTGACCGCCGGCCTTCGATGATGGCCTGTCGGTACGCATCAATTGCGTCTCGCATGTTGCTGACGAGCGAATTCCATGTAGGATGTGGAGCCGTAGAGTCATCCAGGAAATAACGAGGAATAGATGTAGAGATTCCCAGGGGTAGAGATCGATCGGTAGTGGTCGAGTGGGAGGACATTGGAGTGCCCATGATGGGGATGGAGTCCATGCCGCCGTTTCCACCGTTTGAGATGAAATGGGGAGGATAAGCTGATTTGAGGTCATAGTGTTTTGTGATGGGCGAAGGGTTGACAGAACCTAAGGATGTAGCAGGAGAGACGCCATCAGAAATGAACGAATGTCGGCGCTGCGATGCCATTAAGAGAGAGTCACCTTCAGCCTCTGAGGCAGAGCCATCATAGTCATCTTCGTAGCGGTCGATGCCACGGGCCATCATCTCTGGTGGCAGGCGGGTGTGTTCGGGCACGTAGACGTTTGTACGATCCCGGGGGCCAGACTCGTTGGCGGAAGTAGGCGTCTCCAGGGGAAGCTCCATTGTGCTGTAGCCGGTCAAGGTATTGTAGTAGAACAGACGGCCGTCCGCGGTGGCCTGGGGGATCCAGAAGGCGGCTTCTTCGGCCTCACCACCGTCTGCTCCATTGCTTTCTATGGGCAGGTCCTCGTCTCTCAGGGTGATGTCTAGGCCGTCGACGTCGTCTTCGTATTCATCGTCAGCGCCAGATTCGGCACTGGCATCACCGGTTTGGTCGTTGACAGCTTCAGGGCCAGGAACGACGGCGCAGTAGTTGCTTGGGAACCAGCCTCGGACATCACCAATCACGCCGTCCCACCAGCCGGTCTCGAGCTGGTTCAGTACCTGGATAATGTCGCCTTGTTCGAAGCTGAGGCTGGTATGGTCGTCTGAGGTGTACTTGTACAAAGCTCTTACGTAGAGAGCCGGAGGTGCCTCTGTTGGTGATACGTAGCCTGTGAAAGAGAGAGAGAAAAAAAAAAAGAGCAGTCAGTACGGGAGAGACGGTTGGAGGAAGAAGGATAGCAATTCCGGTACAGACCATCATCATTCGCCGTGCCAGCGGCGCCCTGGCCGGCGTAGCCATCGCGAGAAGCCATATGGCTTTAAAAAATGTATATATTTTTGATTTTCAGAAATGGATTCGTTCGACTGCCGTCGGTCTTGATCTCGGTCCTCCCGGCGAGAACCACGGACAAATAAGCAGACCAAGAGACAGCGAGAGCCCACAGAGCGAGAAGCCCAGAAGAAGAATTGGTCGAGAATCTGGGAAAGACGGGGAGGGAGGGAGGGGGGGGGGGGAGAGCGCCTAATGTTGGTGTTGTATGTGGTAGGAGGGAGTGTGCATGATTCGTCGAGGGCGGCCAAGGCACTGTGTGTACCGAGTGTGACCAGTCCGTCAGTTGCTGTCAGATCGTGTACTGTTGCTCGACGGGCTCGTCCTCAATCCATATCCCCTTCGAACGAGGTTGCCGCGACGGGGAGAGAGGGAGAGAGGGAGAGAGACACGCAGCGAGGGCCAGCGAGAAAGGGGGCGATCTGGTCCAAGGCAGCCTTGCCTTGACGGACTCTGGCTGTCCCTCTGTCTGTGTGGGTGGTTCGTCGGAGATGTTTCAGGCCCGGGTCCGGAGTCCAGGAAGTCCCCTACCCGTCCAGCAAGCGGATCGTGCGCCCAACGGTCCAGCGACGAAGCAGCCGAGGGAGGTCGACGCCAGCGGCTGTTGCGAGAGCTGGAAGTTGTACTCGTTGTCGTTGCGGCTTGTCGTTGTCGTTGTCGTTGTCGTTGTCGCTGTCGTTGTCGGTTGGTGGTTGTGGTTGTGGTTGTGGTTGGTTCGTCGTCGCTGCGGGCGTTGCAGGCGAAAGTCGAGGTCGACGTTTGGCCGTTCTGGACTTTACCCAAAGCGGACGACGCAGAGGGAAAAAAAGAGAAGGTGGGGACGGCGGAAAGGGGCAAGCTTAGGTAAGCAAAATCTGCCTTGGGTAAGAAAGATCGACTTGTGGACAAGCAAGGGGAGTTTGATATTACTTGAGGCGTCAGGAAGAAGCGGCCGCAGGAAGACGCAAAGAAGAAGAAGAAGAAGAAGAAGAAGAAGAAGAAGAAGAGGAAGAGGGAGAGGAGGCGGAGGAGGAGCAGGAGGAGAGAGGGAGAGCATCTACGACGGACAGGACGAGAGGATGGACGGCTACGGCGAGATGGAAGGTCGAGATGGGCAGCGAGGGGAGGCTGTTAAACTACGCGGTGCAGCCCAGGGCGATGCGCAGAGACACAGGCAGCGTCCCGGGACTACGTAGGGGAGGGGGAGGACCCTCGCTTAGTGTGGGCGGCCAGACCCAAGCGAGCGCATTTCTTCCATACGTCGATCCAGGGATGCTCGATGCGCTAGAGAGCTCTTGGTTGGGTCGAGAGGGTCGCCAGTCTTGGGCTGGATGGGAGTTTTAGCTCGCCCAGCGGTGCTCGATCCTCTGCCGCCCTTTGCCGCAGGACAGGCTAAAATACTTATGCATGGGATGCGAGGGGAAGCATGAGCATGCATAACCATAACCTACTTGCTACTACGGAGTCCCTACCCTACGACTATAGTACTCTGTCGGTGACTTACGGGACGAGCTAAACTCGATACAACCTTTTGTTAAGGCCGTCTATCGCTGAAACGGCTATCCAGAGATCGCTAAGCAGGACAGAAGGTTAGGTTGAAAGGCAAAAGGACAACGAGACGAACGTGTCTGTTTCATGGGATATTACTGCTGTGTTGATGTATTCCCTCTGCCTGACTCTGTTGTGAGGAGGCAACACAGCATGCATATGCAGACGCAGGAAGAGGTATCCAGGAACAGGAACAGGAAAGAAGAAGAAGAAGAAGAAGCAATCTATGTGAGATGGTTAAAATCGATCTGAGTCTCTGCCCTGCTTGCCACTTCAGCCTTGTACCAACCAGCGAGCACACCACTTACATCAGAGGCGAAGGAACAGAGGAAAAGAAAAATGATGAGGATGATGATAACATTAGAAAAGCAGAACAAGATGGAAGAGGATGCACATCTTGAAATTGAAGGTGGGTAGCCACACGCCACAAGCCAAGTTGCGCAGAGATTTACGATGAAAAAGAAAAAGTCCAAAGCAGGAAACGGAAAAAAAGAAAGGAAGAAAGGAAGGGAAAAGGCGGTTCATACGGAGATGATGAATGATAACATGGTTAAAGATGGGAGGGAAGATGTCGAGTTTATGTACCATCTAATCGCCCGGTTTACCCTGTTTATCCATCCCACCTGCTGGTCCGGCGATGATGGGAACTGAAAGGGGAAGGGCAAGCCACGAGCTGAGGATACCATCTAGTAATGGCTATTCTTTTTCATCTTTTCCCGACTATCGAACTTGGTCGACAGGGAAGTCCCCTTCTTTGGCACCCTCTTCGCCATAAATTACTTCTCCTACCATGTCCGTCCGTCCATTTTTCTTTCCCCTGGATTTTGCAGGAAGCAAACTCAATTGAATAAATGTGAAGAATCAGAAGAGGCAAGCTTGCTCTTCTACGGAGCAACATCAGATAATAATATGATTTATTTTATTATCAGCATCGAACTATACTGACACACCGCCTGGCCTGGTGGCCCCCCACCGGAGATGCACATCTAGACCTCCCGTCTCCATCTCCATCAGCCCACCAAGTAATTAAAAATGGATAATTAATGTGAGTAATAATAAACAGGTAAGTAATAAGCAAATACATTATGGTATGTAGGCAAGCCCGGCGATGGCGTGTAAGTATCCTTATGTATAGTTACGGCCCGTATCGTCGGTACGGTCCAGTCCGGTTGGCAATAATGCAAGACCCTAACGCCAGCAGTTCTCGAAGGGGTTCACCACCCAACAGCACTAAAGCCAGAGAAGAAGTGAGTTTCCCTGCCTGAAACGGTCCTCATTCTAACTCAAGAGAGTAACGGACAACGCCTTCTTGACCCTTTTTTTTTTTTCTGACTACGTGGGTGGGCTCGATCGAGAGTCAGTCCTGCAGTCAAAGAGTAGAGGGGGAAAGGGGGGGAGGCGGGCAAGGCAGCAGATCTGACTTGTCACAGATGCTGCGCTTTCTTTTTTCCCTTTTCTTCCCCCCTTTGCCTTTTGGTATATCCCACGAACGAGCTGAGGGGAGGGGCGAAACATGCCCCTCTACCTGTGCTGGCAGGCCCTTTTATATTATTGGAAAGTCGGGATGAGAAGTGTGAGAGATGAGATGCAAGAGGCGAGGTGTGTGTGGTATGACGAGTGTCATCTTTAAATTCAGGGGTTCGCTAGGGGGCCCCCTCGGATCCTGCATGGTTGTTGGTGGTTGTTCCCGTCCGTCTGTCGTCTGTGTAAGGACGGGATATACCGATATAAGTACATCAAGGGGGGGCTGGAGGAAGGTGACTGAGGCCAGGGAAGGATGTCTCGCCTGCACTGACGGCCAGCAGTCCCTGCATGGACAGGATGGGCGGTGTAGACGGACAGCACAGCGAACAACAGCAGCGAGAGACAGCAACAGCAGGCCAACGCGAGAGACGAAGAAGCAGCAGCAGCAGCAGCAGAAGCCAGCACGGCCAAGGACGCCGGCTCCGTCCAGGGGGAAAGACGAAGAAGACTTTCTCTTCCCCCAAAAGGGACCCCCAAAGAAAAGGCTAGGGGAGGCCCGAGGCGGGAAGTTGACCCCACCGGTTACGGTAAGAAAGTCAGAGCCGGCGGCCTAGGAGTTGATGGCCGGAGTAAACAAGACGGCATAGAGTAGGTAGAAGGAGAGTCTACTCTCGGCAGACAATGAGACAATGAACCAGACGGTGATAAAGACGAAGAGGCCGCCGAAGAAGACACAAAGATGCTGCTGCTGCTGCTGCTGATGATGATGATGCTGATGATAATAATAATAATGAAATGTAGTCCAGAGTGAGGCGATCGATCGGCCGGCCACTTTCTGGCGGTGACCTGGTAATATCGCCGTATTGCTCGTATCGCTATTGCTCGTGTGGGCTGTATTATTACCTTACTTTACCTTACCTTATTTACTTTGATGGTAAGAGGGGGAGGCCGGCCTCCTTGCCTGCTTTGACTTGCGATACGCAGATGGTTGTGACTGGCTGTTTATATTATTATTTGTTTGTTTTGGGGGGTCGCTGAGGCTTGTCTTTACCGTACGGTACCTTACTTACCCCTCTACTTTTACCACTGTTACCACTGTTACCACTGTTTGTCGTTATTTACTCTGTTACATGGCCTGTTTTCATACCGTAACGCGTTCTGTCGCGGGGGGTAAGGTGGTCGGGGTGGGGCGTGGCGTTAGGAGGTGCGCTGGCCGTGGTCGCAGGGCTCAGCTGCCCGCCACGCAGCCCCCTCCCCCGTCGCTTTTTCCTCTTGTTCCTGCTGCTGCTGCCCTCACCGGCCCTCGCCTGCCCCTCGCTCCCCTCGTCGCCCGCTGCCTGCTGCCACGCCCCTACTGCCACGCCATCCCTCTTTTTCTTCCTTGTCCGCTGCCTTCGTCTTCCTTTTTTGCTATTTATCGTGGGCTTCGTTTTTTCGACCTTTTTTTTTTTTTTTTCTCTTTCTACTCTTCAACATCCTCTCAGTCCGCTTTCATCGTCCATCTCGCATCTCCCTCCATCTCCATCCCGCATAGCTTCGACGTTGGTCACTCTCTGGCTGGTCCTTGTACTCGTCGCTGTCTACTCTGCTCTCTCCTCTCCTGCTACTCCCACTTCGCCTCGACTTTCTGCCATCGCCGACTTCAACCTCTGGCCCAAAAGGGAAATAAAAAATAAAATAGAGAGCCACAACCACAACCAACTTCATCAGCCTCTTCTTTTTTTTATCCTTCCCTTCCTTCATTTTACTATTCACTACCAATAGACCACTGTGCATCGTTAGCAAGGCATGCTTAGTCCTCGACAGTCGCTCGCCGTCACCACCACCGCCGCCGCCTTCACCGTCTCTTCTCTCGCCGCCAGAATATCAGAGGAAGCAAGATAACCATTTCGGCTGGAGACTTGCTACGGACTTGGAGCCTCGTCTTCCTGCTCGTCTGGTCTCTTTCTCCCCCGTCTCTCTCTCTCCCCTCTGTTCCCTTCCGGCTCCTCTCCTAAACTACTCTACTCTGCTTCCGTCGATAATACTATACAATGGCTCCTGCTGCTGCGTCAAATTCCGGTGCGAAGAAGGCCTCCATGCCACCGGAGAGGAAATACAAGTGCCAGTTCTGTCACCGGGCCTTCAGTCGCAGTGAACACCGCAGTCGACATGAAAGATCTCGTATGTCTTGTCTTTTTCTACTTTTTTCTTTACTACTGTTCTACGCTCTTCTACTCACAAACGCTACTAGATACAAAGGAACGGCCGTTCAAGTGTCTCAAGTGCAGAAGTACGTTTGTGCGCAGAGACCTGCTCCTCCGTCATGACCGCACAGTGCACGCAAAGGATGGTGGGATTCCCTTGGTTGCCGAAGGACGTCGACGTGGTGGAAAGGCTGCTGCCGCTGCCGCTGCCGCCGCCGCCGCTGCTGCTGCCACGACTGCCAACGCTCCACAGACGACCACATCAGCGACAACAGCGCCAACCTCCACGACAGCCACAGCCAAAGCTAGTAGCCCGTCCAAGTCGTCCACCATTGACCCCGCTGCGTTGGAACAGATAGAGGCCAGCAGTGATGGCATGGTCGACCTCGAGACCGCGGCCATGCTCATGACAGACTTCCAGCACAAGGCTGCCGCTTCTGTCACCGCCCAGCATCGCAGTCACCAGTCCTACTCGGATCGTGGGAACAGTCTTATGGAACCATCTGTCTCGTACATGTCTGGCAACGCTACCCTCCCCCAGATGCCTTGGGATACCTTCATGGCCGATGTCAAGCCCTCCAAGGAGCCCTCCAGGTCCTCTCAGGCTGCTGCTTCTTCCTACCAGCACCAGCACCAGCACCAACATCAGAACATGGTTGCTCCTACTATCGAACGCAGTTCCTCCAGTGACAACTTGGCTCCAAACATGCACTCACTCGTCCATTCTTTGCCCGTCTCTGGTAACTCAACCCCCAACGCTCTGTCCCCTTACCCATCCATGACCGGACCCGTTTCCCCAGTCAACTACAGGCGTTCACCCGGACCCAGCCAAGTCCTCACCCAGCCCAAGACCCCACAGATTGCCAGTGATGCCGAGCGCCAGATCATCGTTGACCGGCTAGAGGCCAATGACAGCCTCAACAGCCTGCCAGAGACCTTCAAGGTGCCCACCACAGCCGTCTTGAACAGATACCTGTCCACTTACTTCAACATGTACCACCATCATCTGCCCTTCCTGCACCCGGCCACATTCAATCCCAAGGATGTCTCATCTCCTCTGCTCCTTGCCGTGTTGTCCATTGGTGCCCTCTACACCTTTGAACGGGAAGATGCCTTCATGTTGCACATCGGCTCCAAGATGCTGGTCAACCAGTTCCTCCAGCAAAAGGACAACTTCGACTCGAGAAAGTGTCCCCTCTGGGCCATGCAGAGCACCTTGCTCAACATGATCTTCGAGAGCTGGAGTGGTGACTCCAAGGGCCTCGAGTGGACCTGCTCCATCAAGAGTTTGCTCGCCAACATGGTCGCCGGCAACAGATACCAGCTCAAGCTCAGAATAGACGCTCGCGAAGGCTCTACCCCGCGACACGCCGAATGGATCGAGGACGAGAGCTGTCGTCGAACATACTACGCCGTGTTTGTCTTCTTCGGCATGCTCAGCCTGACATTCAATCACAACCCAGCCCTGACCTTCAACGAGTTCGATACCCTTGAACTGCCCTCGTCAGAGTCCCTCTGGAACCTCGATATCTCGGACGAGTACACCTGGCGCCGAGCTCTGGGCGGCAGCTCCAAGATCCTTACCGTCAGACAGGCCCACGACAGCCTCCTGCGGGGCGAACCAGTGCGTTACTCCGCCTATGCAACCCGTGTCATGATCAAGGCCCTCTTCCTCGAAGTATGGGATCAGTCTCGCACCATCGACGCCCTCCAGGATGTGGTCACCCAGTACAAACTGCGACTCGCAATTGAAACATGGGAGAAGTCCCTTGACATCTGCGAACCTGAAACCATAGTCGTTCCCATCAGCACCCCTCAAAAGGGCCACCCGCTCATCTTCAACTCCATGGCCGTCTACCGCAATACCCGTGCCAGATTAGAAGTTGACCTCAAGTCCATCCAGGAAGCTCTTCGCTACCACTCGCCCTACGAGGTCGCAGCAGCCATGACCGTGGCCCGCGAAAAGATCAAGCGGTCCCAGGAAATGAACAAGGTCGTCACGCAGTGCTTCGAGTGCATTGAAATCGCTGCTGTTCAGGGGCTGAACTGGGTTGCCACAGCCTCTGCTACGAACTGGAGCATCGAACACCCGCTCTGCGGCATGGATATGATGGTCATTCTCAGCTTGTGGCTTTACCGTCTTGAACACGACGAGGAACAGGCCACGGAAGACGAGTTGGAGCTGTATTACAAGATTCGTGGCCTGTTTACCAACGAGCTCTCCGACCAGCATGACAAGCTTTGTTCCACCGTTGCCCGCGTATGGGGGAATATCCTCGACGGCGTAGTCGTATGGGGGTAAGTCTACTCTTTTCTTCTATTCCTATATAGCCAAATGCTAACATATTCTCTAGAATTACCAAGCTCATGGGCGAGGCATTCAAGCTCCACTCTCAGGCTCTCGTTGGATACCAGGACTCAGCTGCTAGTCCCGAGCAGGCCCTTGAACCCATGCCTATCAAGGGTCTTGCCAGCGTCGGGACTGCGTATTGACTGCGCCGCTAACCTCTCTCCCACCTCACACAATCTCTAATTTGCACACCTCCTATCTCTTTTTCTTCTTTTCCTTATTTTCCTTCTTTCCTACGGCGTTATGTTGAGGCTATTCTTTTTTTTTTTTTTTTTTTTTCCTTTTCGGTTTCATTTCTTTTCCTATCTCTTTTTGATTGCAGCATCTCCTTTCCCTTCCTCTTCTTTCCCTCTTTCTCGTGAACTTTTTGCTCCATCTCCTACGTTTCCAGCGTTGCTTTTTTTTTTTTTTTCGATTTATTTCTCTACTTTCTATATTTCGGCTTTTGCTTGCTTGAAGGGGGTGGTCACGGACAACAACACATTCATACATACACACATAGATTGGCACTACCGGGGAAAAACATGGACACGGGGTTTTGGCATGACATAGCTGGCAAAGGCGAATGCAAAGTGGCAAAGGGAACGAAGGGGAAAAGAAACGAGGAAGGCTTCTCTATCGACTTGCCTTTCCTTTCCTTCTTTTCTTTTCTAATCTGCATTTGCATGTCTCGTGTCAGAAACGGATTTCCTTGGATTTGATTTTTCCCTCATTTCTTTTCTGCTTCGTTCTTTTCCTTGGCTGGTGGGTTTGAGATATCTGTTCGTGTCCCTTTTTCCGTTCTTTTTTCTCTGCTTCCTTCGTGCGGACTGGCTGCTCACACATCCCCCCCTTTTACCTCCTGGTGACTTCACTCGCAACCAAATACCCATCCAACCTACATCGACACTAACCTCTGCTCCACAACCGAGCAAAGGCATGCACCTCATCTTCTCTACACCAGCTGGTCCTGCGTGTCTGCGTCTGTTCGCCGCATCAACTTGCTTCTCTTCTCTCTTTCCTACTATTACTTTACTACCTTTCTACAACACCCTACATTTAATCTTTAGTGCCTTTTTTCTCCCTTTCTGCTCTTTTTGCTTGCCTTGCTTTACTGCTTTTTCTCGCGGTCTATATACTCCATTTAGTTCTCCTGTTCTCTTCTGCTTTACTCTGATACTCTGCTCCGTTCTGCGTTTGTGCATGGCTCTCATCTCCTCGTCCTCGTCTTTGGACTTAATATGCCTCTGCCTCCTTACCTTGACGCCATCGAGTTCATTGTTTCGCCATTTTCAATTGTTTCTTTTTGGAATATCTTTTCTTTGCTCTTGTTTGCTTGCTTTCCTGGTCTGCGTTCTGCGTGCCGCGTTAATGTCTCTCGTCTCTATATCAATCTCATCTCATCTATCTGCCTATTACTTACTAGATTTCTGTTCGGTCAGCCAGTGTTTGTTTTTGCGTGTTTTCTCTTTTTGCTTTACTTTTCATTTATTTTTTTATATTTAATCTTTTTCTGTTGATATTTGATATAGCTCCTATCTATCCATCGATTCTATTTACTGATTTATCTCTTATTTCCTTGGTCAGATGCTCGATATTTTTTTTTTTTTTAATTCTCCATGGCTGATTCTGCTTTCTTGATTTCTGCGCTTCTCTTCTCTGGTCTACTACAAATTGCGTGTACCATACAGACTTTACTTAACATTACCCAAATAATCTCATCATATTGATGGTGAACCGCTCTCTTCCCTTGCAGCATCGAATTAAATTAACTAGTAGGCCTGTAGCTTAGTAGATTGACGTCAATGTACCGTTCAAGTCAAATTCAACGTATTTATATAAACCAACCAAGTCTCGCCAAACACCGCCCAACCAAGCCACACCACATCACCGGTCATAGCAAACCGCACACCTCCTAACTCACCGACGTCCTACCGCCGGCCGAGAAAAGCCTGTCCCCAATATCCCCCAGACCAGGCTGAATCATTCCCTTCATGTCAACCTGCTCGTCCACGGCCCCCGTCCAAACCTGCACGCCTTCCTCCCACTCCCCCGCCGCCTTGATAAGACCAGCATGACTACCCAAGATACACAGGAACAAGATCCGTTCCACCCCCCACTCACGCAGCGTCTGGATGGCCGCTGAGGCAGTGCTGCCCGTTGCAACCACGGGGTCGATGATGATTGCTAGCTTTGCTGCGGCGGAGTTGACGCCCGTCGAGTTCGGCTGGAAGGGGAGGTTGTTGTAATATTCTACTGGTTCGAGGGTGGTGGGTTCGCGGAACAGGCCGAGATGGTGCACGGCTGGCGTGCATGGGAGAAGGGTTTGAATTGCTTTCCGTTTCAACTAGTTAGACCTACTATCCAATCCGTCTTGTCATATTAAGCGGGTTTGGGGTATGGATATATATTTTTAAGTACCGTTGACCATGCCGAGGCCTGATCGTAGTATAGGAACCAGGGCGATCTTGTCTGGCGTTATGGAGCTAGTGGTATATTCGTATCCGAGGGGGGTGGTGTTCTGTTTCATTCGTTGCCCTGTTTAGTATCGGAAACTATTGAGTGATGGTGGCAGCGGGGAAGGCAGGGAACAACACACCTTCTCACCGGGGGCCACAGAGATATTGTCTGCAAAGGCCTCACAGCCTATTATCGTGGCTATCTCGTGGACTAGGTCGTTGGTTTCACGGCTTGATGCCTTGCCTGATCGAAGCTGGGAGAGCTTCACCCGTAGACACGGATGGCGGGACACATGGACGTTTTTCGGTAGTGTCTGGGACATGGCGAGAGGATTCTAAATCTATCTAACGCTCAGCTGCTAAAAGGGATGAATATGGAGAGTATATAGCAGTCAATATGAGCAGAAGAAGCAGATGAAATGGAATGGATGTAGATATTGGGGAAGCGGACGCGGAGGGGAGAAAAGCGGCTGCTTCTTATCTTATCGGTAAGAAATGGGGTAAGCATGCGTAATAATACATGTAATATCAATACGCCGGTTGATAATAAAATACATGGAAAACTCCCGGCGAGAAGAAGAAAAGAAACAGAACGAGAGAAGAAGCGAAGAAGATGGCTTGCGAGACTGCTGGAAGCTGCAAGCTGATGCCACCGAGGATCTCCAGCTTGTTCCGCCGCTTCCCCGACGCTATTTGACGCCCGAGCTACCCATGAAGCAGGGAAGAAGCAGTACTGCAAACCCGCCAGATGCCCCAGTCCCAGACCAACGAGGCGAAGATGCGTCCTACGAGCTCGAGACGATAGGATCGCGAACGATTCCGGAGCGGCATCATACGGCAGATAGCGGAAGGGATATCATTCCGGATGGCAGGTCTTCCTCGTCTCGCCGTGAACCGTCTGCGTTACTAGAGAGCGCAGAGTCGTGCATATCCTCACCCGAACACACGCAGTCGGAGTTGCAGCTATCCCACCATGCGACTCAGCTTTACACAGTCTCCTATCTTGTCCTCTTCTCCATATTTGGAACCCTGGCTCGGATCGGACTGCAGGCCTTGACGGTATATCCCGGGGCGCCAATAACTACGGGAGTGACCTGGGCGAACGTCGGCGGCTGTCTGCTTATTGGCTTCTTCGCGGAGGATCGCAAGCTCTTCCGTGAAGAATGGGGTGCCTCTTCCACTGGACGGGGGAAACTGAATGACAATGGCGATGAGCAGCAGCGAATTGACGATCCCGATGACGATGCGGAAGCGTTAATGAAGCACAAGGCAGTTAAGAAGACTATACCGTTATATATCGGTCTGACCACCGGATTCTGCGGCTCGTTCACTTCCTTTTCGTCCTTCATGCTTGATGCGTATCGTGCGCTATCAAATACCTTGCCGAACCCCAATACGGAGAGCATCTTGCCTAGAAATGGCGGGTATAGCTTCATGGCGGTCATAGCCGTCATGTTATACACTATTTTGCTTTGTCTTTCTTCAATTGTGGTTGGAGCCCATCTCGCAGACGGCCTGTCATACTTCACACCACCTCTCCGGTTCAAGTTTATGCGTAACGTACTTGACCGACTCGTCGTCGTATTGGCGTTCGGGTGCTGGATCGGAACTATCTTCCTCGCCATATGGACGCCAGATCGATATCGGCCGGTACGAGAGCGGCATTGGCGTGGTTCAGCTGAATTTGCCATTATATTTGCCCCCATAGGCTGTCTGTTTCGATTCTATGCTTCCTTATACTTCAATCCGTTTGTTTCTTCATTCCCACTCGGAACGTTCTTGGTCAATATGATAGGCACTCTGGTCCTGGGCGTATGTTTCGATTTACAACATGCGAGCAGCATCGTTGCTAGAAATAATATGGGCAATGTACCGTCTTCCCACCAGCTACTTGGCTGCCAGGTTCTCAAGGGCATCATGGACGGGTTCTGTGGATGTACAACCACAGTGAGCACTTGGATTGCTGAAGTTCACGGCCTAAACATGAAGCACGCATATCTATATGGACTCACGAGCATTGGATTGGGGCTCGCCCTTTTAGTTGTTATCATTGGAACCATGCAATGGACTGCCGGATTGACGCAACCAGCCTGTTAGACTTGTATTATATACGCATATATACATATCAGCTTTGGGTATTCAGAACTTCCTCCTTATCTCGGCGCATCAAGCCTGTTCACTATATCACCCATTTATACGACCAGATTTTCGCGAACGTCACCGAACCCCAAACCGCCGTCACTATTCCCGTTTCGAGCCATCTTCCCAGTTGATTCATTATTCGATGTTTGATCATGGCTGCCGCTTGAGCTGCTCTGATGCGACTTTTTCATCTCCGATATATTCGCAAGGGCCCTCTCCCGGGCAGCAAAGTCTTCACGACGGGCACGCTCCCTAGCGGCATTGCGTCTTTGAGCAACTAGACCGCGATATTCTTGTTAATTTTTACCCTTGGAAATACTCCATACTTTGATACTTGATGGGATGTGATAACGCACATTGCCAAAAGATCCAATACGCAGCCATGGTTATAATGGACAGAGCAATAAAGCCGAACATAATGCCTAGTTCTCGCTTGAGAGATCTAATAGGGGTATACGGCATCATGGGCGTATGGCGAGGTCGTCCGCCGTGCCCATGATCGTGTGGATGCTGCATTTTGCGAAACATACGGATATGTCTTCGAAGAATGTGAGTGAGGCTTCCCACGGGTGGTACCAGGTATTCACCCCTGTTTCTATTGTTCTTGGTAGACTCGCGTGATTACCTGCCCTGAATGGCCTGTGAGGAATAACTAGCTTTGACCAACAGGAAACGGGTTGGAAGAGTGTACATGGGTTGCACCCATCTGGGGATGAGATGTACGAGAGAAAAACTGGAGAAGATCGAGCGAGATATTTGAATGGCCGGCATGTGCTGTTTAAATATTATTCGCTCAGCTTCGCTACGATGTAGAGAACAAAGAAAGGTAAACTAGTCCCTAGCCTGATGGGAGCTGAACGGCTGTCAGCCACATGCCAAGATGGGGCCGTTGAGAGAGGGTGTAGAGACGCCGCTAAGGCGAAGAGATATATGTAGATGATTTGGAGTATTTACATGGAACAGTTGATGAAATAAAGGGGCCCTGTCAAATTTGAGGCGTCCCGCTACTGGACGGAGGGATAACTTGAGTTAATTCGTAAATTGGGTCATTACTGGGTAGGCTACAGTCCAAAGAATCGTCGAATGCCTTAAGTATAATCAAGTCGATTTTTGGGGGCCGGCTTGTCCAACTCCCTTGAATAGAACTTCTTTGATCTCTGCCGCCATTAGACCAGCCATTTCTTCTCCAACGATCCGATCTCCGTCTTTGACAATCTTGACAAGCTGCTGGTCCTTTGCTGTTAGGGTCTCTTTCCCATCCACGATAGCATCGCCTAGTATACCACCCCTCGCACCAGCATTTCCACCTTCCATTGTTCTGGCGGCTCGCTTTATCTTCTGGCTGAGGTCATTTATCTGTTTGCTTCCATAGTCTCGGTTGGTGAAAAGCGGACTCTGGCTGATGGTTGCAACCCAGTATTTATTCCAAAGTAGAGATAATATTTTGGTGTCTAATGTGCTTTTGAAGTTTGAAACATCCAGAGAATAGTATTGTGACGCATGGGCACCGAAATCCTCAACCTTATTCAGTGGTATACTTTGGTATTCATCATCTTCCTCCTGCCCAGAACCGGGTGGAGTATAGTCTTTAGGGTAGGTTCTGAATGCACCAATCTCGACTTTTCCAGCAGATATGGTACGATCCGGGTCAATAACCACGGCAACGAAAGGATCTGAATAAGTCTGTTGCGTGTCTTGTGTCGAAACATCGATACCGGACAACCAGCATCCGTAACCCGGGTGACTATGGTACCAGCCAATCGCGTTTTCCATTCTTCCGGAATCACGGCAAGATTGTAGATATGAAACCATGTACTCGTTCGCTTCATCTTGGGCGTTGACTCTGGTCTCTGTCCCCTCCACCGGCAATCGAAATGCATCAGTGACGACAAACGTATTGGCAGCCACAAACCCTTGCATGAGTCCCATCACCTCGAGATTTCCTCCCGATCGAGCGTGCATAACCATCTTAAGGAGTGCGGTGGCAGATATACGAATCGATTTGAAGTAGTGGGGGTCTTGGGCCCATGGCTTAGCAGCCATCAAGGCCTGGGTAGCTGCCTGGTCATAGTTATAGAGGGCATCGCGTTGCGGGTCAACAAGCTTGACATGGTTTTCGGCTTCTATAGAGCAGCATTTTATATTAGCTCACTGAACCAAAATTGAAGAGCAGTGCTTGAAGGAGAATGACAGATATACCCCATGACTGAAGTGCTGGAGTACTCATGGCTGGAACTGTGTTTCAGCTCCCGTGCTTTCTGAGCACAACTGCCTAAGCTGCAGATTTCAAATGAGCTACCATCTATTGTAGCCTCGAGATTATCAAGCTAGCTAACTGAAGTGACGATAGAGAAGAATTGTTGGCTGACAGGGGCCTACTTTGATATTTGGAGAGCGGGTTGGAGAGCAAAACGGCGTATGATTATATAAGATATTCAGATGACGTAATTTATTATTTAATATCTAAAATCACGTGAAAGCTTCGACCACTCATTGTGACCCACTTTTCCTTCTTCGTTCTTTCTTCGTCTGTGGTCCGTGCTTTCCCCATATCAAAGTAAACAAAAACAAGCAACCGAAGGGCCGTATAGAGCGCAGTCAACAAAAGGGATGTAATATCCAGTACAGCTACTCGAGGATTTGGTGTAGTTATTTACCTTAATTTTTTTGAAGAAAAATATAGCCTGTTCCTCCTTAGTCCCCATTAAGCTATGTAAAAACTAATTCTTTGCTAGCAAGCATAATTTAAACTCTTCTAGCATGCAAACCGTTATACGATGGAAGGGTAGGAGTTTCAAAGTGATATTTTAAAGGTAAGGAATAGAATCGGATAATTGCTCAAGCTAGAATGCTTTATTCGGGCCCAATTCAGTTACTATGCATCGGCCAGGATGGCATACTGTGAATCACAGGATTCTAGAGACTGTGTGTTAAACAAGTTTTCCTGGTTCTCCCATTCCTAAGTATGCCAGGCCCGTATCAGACTTGGCTAGCCAGGTAAATGCAGTATTTGACAGTATGTTACAGGAATTGCCTTCCATAAGTTCCCTTAGCCATAGCAACCTTTACTAGTTTCCTTTCCTTTCCCGAAGTGTCCATATGTTTGCAATGCCAACCAAGCTCCATTTGATCCCCACTGTTATCCTCAAGGGCTAGAATATTCCGGTTTCAGCTCAAGAGTACATTCATGCCAGCTAACACATTCAACATTAGAGGAACTGGTATACCAGGAAACGTGGATAGAGATGGACAAACCTTCGGAAATTGCAAACTCGATCGCACGCTGGACATGAAGAGCACAAGGATACTTGCCCTTCCAGCACCCCATAATAACATCTCCAAGGGGAAGATGGTAAACAGAAGGGTAGACTCCATTGTTGAGCCAGTGAGCAACCACGCCGGGCTCGTTATCGGAAGAAAATGGGCGTCTGGTAGTTATAATCTCATACATGGTTGAGCCCAGAGCATGGATTTCGGCTTTCACGGTAGCACGGCGGTTTTGATCACGGTTCGGGTGGGCGTATCCAATCTCGGCAGAGACGGTAGGGAGGTTACCGCAGAAACCAGAGCCGGCAAAGTCGCAGAGTTTGATTTTGCGGTCGGCGTCGAGTAAGATGTTTTTTCCACAGAGATCAGCATGGCGGATATGGAGGCCGTGAATGTAGTCAACGGCGCTGGCGAGCTGCTTGCACCATTTGATACGCTCATAGATGGTGGCCACGCCTCCAGCCTGATAGTATTCACGCAGGTCACCGTGATCAGCACGCTCGAGAATAACTCCGTTCTCGATGACCTTGAAGCATTTGACCACATGGGGGTGTTGGCCAACACTCATCATGTTCTGGAAGATGAGCTTTTCACGTTCAATGTTTTCCTTGGAATCAGGGTCATGAGAGCAGATCTTGTAGACCTCACCAGGGATAGAAGGGGAGGAGTAGATCAGTCCGGACCCCCCAGAGGTAATGAACTTGGAGCCTTCAGGGGGGTCAATGTAGCGTGCCAGAGGCATATCATCATCGTCATTCCCAAAGAAGCACATCTTGACGCGTTCACTTGCCTCCTGTTGCACAGTAGGTGGTTGGGTGGGAGTGAGGAAGACCTGGTTAAGAGAGGGTAGCAAAGAAAAGAACAACAAGATGCCCTTTTCCTCCTTAAGGCAGGCGTTGCTTTTATTCTATTGTGTGTTCAGGGACTGTGTTTGTCACGTGGAATCTGGGACAGGACAAACTGACAACATAATGAATGGCTTTAGCAGCAGTTATGGCATAGAAGATATTTAAGCCCTAACCTGGAAAGAGCATGGCTCTTTCTATCATAGTAGCAGGGCTCTCCCATGGCAATGCATGTGCTGATTAGTATTATCTAGGGTCACAATGTTACAATATACTCTATATATTGATTGAAATTGCTTGACGGGTATCAAGAGGTATAAGACTAGTTTTGGCTCCTGAAAAACTCGACACTGGTATAGAGATCATCCGTGGTATTGGATATCATTCATAAAAGAAGTAAAGAGGTCTCCTGTGCTGTAGGAGAACTCAGGATGATATTGATATAGGGGTATATTCATCTCGTCTTCCCGGTCATCCTTTTTGCAGATTATGATCCATCTTCTCGGCCATGCAGACCCAACTGTCGCCCAGGGTACTCTATATATGCTCTCACTCGGCTCCCAAATGTCGCCTGCTGCCATTCTCCTGTCATCTTTGCCTCCTCCTTGTCGTTCCTTGTCATCCTCGTCGTCCGCTTTTCTTTTTTGTGAAGTAAAAATAAAGTCGTACCACGTGATGCATGACTTACATGCTGAGTCAGCCGTTGCCGTGGAAACTTCCGGCGAGTCAACAAATCGCAAAGCCGAAAGCAACGAACAACTTCTTTTAAACCAGATCATCGTCCGCATATCCAACATCTTCCCAGACAACAATCGACAAGACAACACAGACACCGCTTCACTGCCCGCCTCGACTGCTTCGCTGCTCTCTGATCATGATCATGCGCCTTGCATGATATGGACTGCGATTGACTGCCTTCTGCGCCCTTGTTTATCTCACCCTCACTCGTTTCTCCCTCAGCGCGACATCCCACATCCCCTCGGTCGCGACACACCGCACTAGACAGCGACTCGGCTTTTTCGTTTAGAATTATCCTTCCCTTTCTTCTCTGCATAGCAGTGAAAACACTGTTCTGGTGCTCAGGGCCATCTACTCACCAGGCGAGCCGGGCATGGCCGTGGATACAAGCTACTTGACCAGCCAGGTCAACTCCATCGTTGAGCAGCTCCATGGCCTATTCGATGATATTGGTGTCCCTCACCATGAACGGGAGTCGCGGGAGTCAGAAGTAAGTGCTCTAATGTCATTCTGACAAGCTTGCGCGAGTGATCGTTACTGACACCGACGCGCAGTTATTTTCGGCTCTCTCGGAGACGTTACACGGGCATTTACAGCGTGTCGACGAGTAAGATATATCAACTTCCAAACAATACGCCCATATATATATATATCTAAATCTGAACATTTGAACAGAGAGAAAAACGAGATGATGGAAGAAGCCCACCATCTTAAAACAACTATTAAACAGATGGAAGCCTCACTCGACGGGGTTGGGAGAGGTAGCCGGGAATATGAGGAGATTGAAATTACATATCCCTTGAACAGGTGTCTTGAAGCTCTCAAGGAAAGGCACAACTCAGTCAGTAAGCTGCACCGCGAGAGATTCGAGCAGGTAAAGAGTATGTTTGCTTATGTCTTCTCCACCCAACTTAAATCAGAATACTGCTCTAACAAGGACGCATAGAGCTCGTGGAAGCCCTGGTATCTTACTCATCGCATCTCGAGTCATCCTTTGTTTCCCTAGAACTTCCTCCCATTGAGCCTGGTGCTGTGGCTCCTCCATCATTTGACCTTTCCCCTACCTATGTCAAAGCACTTGATGCCGAATTTACCAGAGTATACGAGGAGTACAACCGCCGTGTTGCAACAATGAGCAGCCTGGGGCAAGAAATAGTGAATCTATGGGCTGAACTCGGTACACCACAAGCCCAGACGGAGCCCTTGATCGTCAAACATTACCGAGACTCTCCAGAACAATTAGGCCTTCACCAATCAGATATTTCCAACCTCCGCTCACGGCGTGAGAAACTTTTGGACGAGAAGAATGCTAGAGAACGCAAATTGAAGGAGCTCAAAGCGGCAGTAGAGGCCCTTTGGGACAAACTAGGGGTTGAGGAGTCGGAAAGAAAAGGATTCCTTGCTTCCAACCGCGGGTGTGGGCTGAGAGCTATAAACGAGTTCGAGGAGGAGCTCTCCAGGCTCAACGAGCTGAAAAGACAGAATTTACACCTCTTTGTGGAAGATGCTCGGTGTCGGTTGCAGGAACTATGGGACAGCTTATACTACTCGGAAGAGGAGATGCTTGACTTCACTCCGGCGTTTTCGGACGTTTACAGCGACGCTCTACTATCCGCCCACGAAGGAGAAATCGCACGTCTTGAGGCTCTTTTGGAGGAAAGAGCACCAATTCTTCAACTTATTGATAAGCATAAATCGCTGATTGAAGACCGTGATTCTCTCAATGCTTCCAGCCAAGATGCTTCTAGGTTGATGGCCCGTGGTAACAAAGGAGAGAGACGTGATCCGACACGGCTTCTTAGGGAAGAGAAAATGCGAAAGAGAATTGCAAAGGAGCTGCCAAGGGTTGAACTAGAACTCAGGAAGACTCTACAGCAGTGGGAAGATGAATACGGCAGACCATTCCTGGTACATGGTGAACGATATCTGGATGAAGTTACACCTGCACCTCCACCATCGAAACTCCCTCCACGATCTAAAACTCCTTCAACCTTCTCCACTGCTTCTAGAGCAAACTCTGTTCGAGGACCTCCATCAATACGTGGAGGAGCTCCGCCAAAACCAACTATCGCTCCTCCATCACGGGCGAAGACACCAACTAGCCATGGTTCTGTGAGAAACATACCCAGGCCTTACTCTGCAGCCGCTGGAACCTTTTCAAAGTCTCCTTCGAAGATACCCGCTCGTGTTCCACTAGGTAACCTACCGCATGGGAACAACTCCCCAGAAAGGCGAGAGCAGCCAACTCATACCTACTCATCAAGCACAGTCCGGGGCAACATGGGACCCCCTAGAGCACCGCCACCAAAGATGAGAGATCTATTCCAACCGCCCAGACCACAAACGTCTTTCTCTTCTTACAAAACTGACCCAGAGCGTTGCCCGAGCTTGATTTCTGGTAGCTCCAGCGGTAATGTAACATCTCTTAGCCCAGACGAGGACTCGCACGAGAGGAAACATCACCAGCGTTCACGCACACAACCGTCAGTCCCATTGCAAGCCCCGAGCGTAAATTGCTCAGTTCAGTCACTACACTCCTCTAACGTCCAAGACAGTGGGCATTACCAATCCCAGCAATCATCATTCGTTAGCCAGTCAAGTGACAAACAGTATAGGCCACAAAATCCCTCCAACAGACAGATTTCAAATTCAACAATACAAACGGTAACGTCAGGATCAGAGAACTGGGAAACGTATGACGATGCATCTGAACCCGAAGCAGATGCAACTGAGGTATATTATGCCAAACTACGAGCCACTCATGGCAAACGCATGGGAACACCAGGTGATCTAGGAGGTACAAAGAAAATACGGGGCATCCGGGGTGTGAGTTCAGATGAATTTGAGACAGAAAACCGCTACCCACACCGAGTTGACGGCAGTGATGGATGGACTGATGACTTGGAACAGTATTAACTGACGCGTTGGTTGAGAGTTTCTTGGAGTTCACTTGGAGCGTTGGAGTAGGTGCCTGGCGTCATTGGGATGAAGCCATGAGATAACGAAGGCTACCGAGAGAAGCTAGGATTTTATACCAGCACATATCTCTGATTCTGGATCACCTCGCTTCTTGAACCAGCAGGCGACAGCTGGCACGGACAATCGATCGATATATGTGTTCACGCCATATGAACGAACCTCATTCATCGTCTTTTTTCTTTCTCTTTTTCTTCCACTCGTTCTCCTTCGGCTTTTCTGGCTGTTATTGTTTTGCAAATGATTTATTGTAATTTGTGCTTTTTCTTTTTCATCACATTGTTCCATCGGTTGGCTAGCCTCACAGGTTATACTCTGGAAAGGTCTCTCTACTTTCCTTGTGCCTCTACTCCTGTCTGGGGTACCATCATTTCATTGACATCACTCATCCCATACCCGACCACCTGCTGGCAGGCAATATGTTCCAGTTTCTTATTATTGATGTTTCTGGCAATGAATTCATTGCCTTGGCCAGCAGAGAAAACGAGGCTATTCAGCCAAGGGACACATACATGATTCCCTCCATTTCTCATTTTTGTATGTCTGGTTTCATTTTTGCTGTTTCAGTCTGCATTTATTCTGTGTACTTATTAGTCGGTTAAATCATCCATTTTCTTTAATTCGAGTTCTGTATATCTGTGATAATCCTTAGCGAGGAAGAAATTTAGGGAATTATAAGCATGACTATCTATACAAGCACAGGAGCTATAGTAGTCCAAAAAACAGAGAATAAAAGTACATAGTGTTGATATCAGATGAGTCCTATTTGGACAGGCCAGCAAGCGATCCCATCCAGGCTTTAGATTGTAATTCTCCCTCGGTTGAAGCAGTCCTTTTGTTTGACATTTGTTTCTGGGGGAGAAGAGGTTTAGTGGCATCTCTAGCGTCTTGCAATCGACGAACAGTTTCATCTCGTCCTAATATCTCCATGGTATTGGGGATGCCAATTCCAGGAGCGCCTCCAGAAAGAGCCCAACGAAGGTAATGGAAAAGCTCTTTTCTAGCTTCCTGTTCCATCTTTGCAATGGAAGCATCCCCATCAAGGGTGAAGACTGAAGTATCGGAAAATATATAAGAAGCAATATTTGAACGATGAATGTCGGCTGTCCAGTGCTCCTCGGGGATCATAGTTAGAACAGCAGCGGCAGTATGGAGAGTGGATATTGGGATAGCTGGTTCAGATGACGGATTTTTAGCAGCAGCAGCAGAGATATATGCGGGCCGATCTATTGTCTGCATGAAGAATGTTTCGTTTTGCGCAACGAATTCTTCAGCGGTAGTATACGACCGAGCACCTTCTTGCAGGAGAGATGCTACATATTTATTGAGGGGTCTACCCTTAAGAAGCGGTGATCTAATGATATATTAGTATTAGTACCTTAACTCCATCATTTTGTGATATCCAATACCAACGTACAGATTTTCAGGGGTAAATCTCTTCAGTGCCGCATTGACAACCTGCTGGGTTATAGCTTCAAACTGCGGTCCTCCTTCAGCAGCATACCGTTTCGCATGCGCTTTCTGCAGGAACCAGAGCTTTTCAAATGCAACGACAGTGTTTCCCTTGGTGAGTTTTAAGTTGAACTAGACATGATATTAGTATAATACTATTTTCAAGAGCCATAGATGATACGTACGTTCCCTTCTAGCTCCTTCAGGCTGAACACGTCTGATTTGCGGGTATGAGACCACCCAAGTAGGGCTGCAAAGTTGGCAAGCGCCTCCGGGAAGATACCCTGCTGGTCTTTAAAAAAGGATATATCAATATCTGCGTTCCGCTTGCTGAGCTTTTGGCCGTTCATATCAACCAATAGGGGGACATGGCCAAACTGTGGCGGTTTCCATTCAAAGGCGTTATACAGAGCCATATGCATGGGTGTTGAAGACATCCATTCGGTGCCACGGATAACATGAGTTATCTCCATGAAGTGATCATCCACAACATTGGCAAGATGGTAGGTTGGGTGGCCGTCGGACTTTATAAGGATTGGGTCTGGATATACGCCCTCGTGGCCCCCTCGTTGTCCAACCGGACGACTCTGGCCGGTCTTTCCATACACAAGATCGTTAAACATAGGATACTGGTCATCAACCCGCAGACGAACAACATGAAGCTCTCCATTAGCTGCTCGCTCATCTGATTCCTCTTTAGATATTCCGGCGCAGGTTCGGTCGTATCCAGGTGTCAGTCCCATCTCGTTACGGTGTCGAGCCATGCTATCGAGGTATTCCGGCGTGCAAAAACACCTGTATGCATGGCCACCAGAGATAAGTCGCTGCGTTTGGGTTTTATAGAGCTCGGTTCGCTCAGACTAAGGGCCTTGTATGAGCTTCGAGTACAGTGGTGTGGCATCAACTGGGCCAGTTTACCTGTCTATACGGCCCGTAGGGACCACCAACTACTGGACCTAAAGCCATTGAATATCAGAACAGCGTTCTCTCTCCCACATTCGTGTTTCATATCGAAGCTCGGTCTTACCTTCGTCCCAGTGTATGCCAGCCCATCGTAGATCATCGTAAAGCCGCTGCTCGGCTCCAGGAATTGTCCTTTTCTTCGACCGTCAGTGATTATCCCTGGAATTCTTGCAATTCCCCTATAGCTAGGCTCCTCGGAACCAATATCATCATACCTGGTCCGTATCTTCAATGCGAAGAAGAAACTGGCCCCCGGTGCGTTTTGCGAGCAGGTAGTTGAATAACGCCGTTCTGAGCGATCCAAGGTGAAGGTATCCCGTCGGTGAAGGTGCAAATCGAGTTCGAGCCGGTGTGTCAGGTAGAGTATTCCTAGTTCTTTTATGCGACAGACTGGCCGTGGTCGAGAAATGCGACTGGCAGCTCCGGCAGACCCAGGAGGCTCTAGCGAAGAGCGCGCGACGCAGCAACATAAGCGCTTTCATGGTGGACAGCCAGTTTAGCTATTCATCATCAAGCCCAGCAAGTGAAGGGCCAGAAGACAGACTCACTTCTTGCATTCAGCATCCAAAGACAAGATACTGCAGCTGAATGATGTTCTTTTTCTTCTTGCTTCACTCCCGTTGCTGTCAAAGTAAGAAAATTACTTTAATGGCTTTTCCTCCCGCCGCTAAAAATAAAAAAAAATTTAGAACTTTTCCTCTACCAAATCAAACAGCCGGAATTATAAATTTTCATACTTCTTGCGATCTTGAAGATACCAAGATAATATTGTCGCTGGAGGCTGTGGCTACTGGGACGGACCGTTCAATAATTGTTCTTTGCTCGTTGAGTCGGCGGAGACATTATTCGTCTCGTCCTAAAGTTGTGAGAGCCGGAGACGGTTGAGCAGAGAGTAAGTACCAACAGGCAATTGTCATGGGAATATCTGGAGGAATCTTCCGAATACATCAGACAGTGATATTAATTTGGAAAAATCAGTGAATTCCGCCGCAGCAGAGGTTGATCTATATGGTATATCTATCTTCCCGGGGAAGCCATTGACTGAAGGTGATAACGGGACGATACTGATATCGGTAAAACAGAGGTTTTGAACCTTGACAGATCCGCATCGAAGGAAGAGATTCGAAAAGCTTACAGAAAGGTATGAGATGGCTGCTACTAGATACGGTGACACTTTATGGACCATTTGCTGACCAGGGCGAAACTCTCAAATAGCTAGCTCTCCAGTATCACCCAGACAAAGTCCAGGAAGATGAGCGAAAGGAGTCAGAAATAAAATTCAAGGCTGTCAGCCAGGCATACGAGATTCTTTATGACGAAGAGAAGAGAGAGCTGTACGATACTCACGGAATGTCGGCGTTCGATGGTTCTGGTAGACCAGGTGGCATGGGTGGAGGACCTGATCTCGATGATATACTAGCCTCCATGTTTGGTATGAATATGGGAGGTGCAAGTATGCCTGGCTTTACTGGATCAGGAAGACGCCGGAAGGGACCCAACGAGGAACAGCAATATACCGTGAGTCTAGAAGATCTTTACAAGGGCAGGACGGTGAAATTTGCCAGTACAAAAAACGTCATTTGCACTTTGTGTAAAGGGAAAGGTGGTAAGGAAAAAGCTACTGCAAAGAAGTGTTCCACTTGCGGAGGCCAAGGTAAGGCATTATTTTGGTTGTGTCAACTTTAAATATATGTCACTAATTATACTGAACAGGACAAAAGGAGACCTTGGTACAGATTGGACCAGGTCTGGTCACTCAGTCTATGATGAAATGCGCCACTTGTGATGGAGTTGGTTCTTTCTTCCAGCCAAAGGACAAGTGCAAGAGATGTAAAGGAACGAAGGTCACCGAAGAAAAGAAGATTCTCGAGATTTACATCCCCCGAGGTGCAAGGTATTGATATAATGCACACTCTGCCTTGATTTTCCTAACTAATAGTGCATATAGGGAGGGTGAGAAGATCGTCCTCGAAGGAGAAGGTGACCAGCAGCCTGATGTCGAACCCGGTGATATTGTCTTTCACTTGGATCAGGCTGAGCATAAGACTTTCAAGCGTGATGGTGCCGACCTATCTGCCACTATAGAAGTTACCCTTGCCGAGGCGCTCTGCGGATTTTCCCGTGTTGTTTTGAAACACCTTGATGGAAGAGGAATCGAAATTAAGCATCCCCAAAAACCTGGCGACGTCCTCCGCCCAGGCCAAGTCCTCAAAGTTGCCGGTGAGGGCATGCCATTAAAGCGTGGCGATGCGCGAGGTGATCTCTATCTGATCGTTGAGATCAAATTCCCTGAAGATGGCTGGGCCTCGAACCCAGCAACCTTGAGTCAACTCCGAGAGTTGCTTCCAGCGAACAAGGCACCCGCCATCGAAGCTGATACTGTCGATGAGGTAGAATTTGACTCCAAAGCCAGCCTAGATAGCATGGGCGAAAATGATAACCAGGGAGGTAGTTCCTGGGTTGATGAAGATGATGATGACGGTGAGGGAGGTGCTCAGTGCGCTACCCAATAGTTCCGAGAATCACCTTATCATTACTGGGTGGACATCATTGTTTTATCCTCCTGTTCTCTGCTTGTTATATTTCCTTTTTTGTTTAAGCCACTACTTACCGTTTTGGCTCTCATGACTTCACCTTGATGACTTGCTAGACAAAGACACGACTTGTTATCGGAGATCAGGCTTTTAGGCGTTTGGGATAAGAAAAGAATAATTGGTTTCATTCTTCCTCTCTCCTCTGCATCTTAGAGCCTGGTGGGAGTGCTTCGTTGATTGATTCCGCCGGCACAGAATCATTTGCATGCATGGCTAAAAGAATAGAGAATGGAACCGGGATTTTTACAATGATACATCCTACAACTTTGCAATTTCACTTTTTCCTTCAACTAGTAACCTCTCCAGCCCCTTGCGAATTGCTGCATTCATACCAGCCGAGGTAGGTTTCATGTCCTTTTTCTGAACAAACACATGGGTGAATCCGCCGACAACCTTCACAGCTTCTTCACCCCGTTTAAAAACTCCAACCTCATACATCACGCTAGATTTTCCCAGCTTAATAACACAGAGTCCTAAATCAAGTACATCCGGGAAAGCAACGGAGGCAAAGTAGTCACAGTATGATGATACGACGAGACCAATCTGTGCTGGTTCGGTAGCCGAGTTTCCTGAAGTTGAGTTGGATGTGAATGGATTGAGCCCACAGTAGGATATCAGATATGAATTTATAATAGAGTCAAAGAGGAATGCATATATGCTGTTGTTGAGATGCGAATACATGTCGTTATCGGACCTTTTGTTGTCAATCAGTTGTGTTCAGTAGCTATTATGCAACGAGAATACCTACCATCGTGTACGGTACTCCAGGTGGTATGCGTAATCCTTCCTCGTTCTACCTTTCTTGCTGGCAATGTCATTTTTCATATTGCCTGATCCTCTCTGCGTTTGCTTTTATAGTTTCCTTTTCTCTAAATGATAAATTCAACATGGATTATGGAGCACTCTTTGATTAATGTTGAGAAATAATCAAAATGCAAGTCACAATAAAGTTGAGCCGAGGCTCTTTCTTTCTTATCAGATAAGAACAGTTACTAATATTAACCTAAACCTTATTTCGATATAAACTTATATCACATGATCGAAATAAAGATTTGAGGCATTGAAAGTTTTGGAGGGTGTCGAAAAAGATATCAAAATTGAATTGCGCATTCAGTTAAAAGCAAGAAGTTGATCATTTTGTGCGTTCCTTCTCTATTTCTGGTATTTTAGCTTTTTGTTGCTCAACTTCACTTCTGGCGCTCTCATCGCGTGCCCTTGCCTACCTGGCACGGCGAGGCTTCCAATCCCCTCCAACCATGGCTTTCACAACCTATGAAGAACCGAAGCCAGAGCCTGAGGTTTTCAAAGAACCTCCTGAAGTTTGTGTTACGCCATGCGACCCTTGGCCGCGGCCCTATTACATTGAAAAAGGGCTACGTCGTGTGGCCCCGTACTATTACACCTACAATACCTACTGCAAAGAGAGGTGGAGGGGGAAGAACCTGCTGGATATCTATTCTACGGAGTTCAGAGACAGGCCAAATGGATACTATGTTTGTCTTTCCCTACTTATATCATTTTAATAGTTTGATCTGAAACTGACTTTCATTATTTACAGAAAGCTGCCATCGATGGTGGACGAATCACTATTGACGGCAAAGTTGCTACGGCCGACAGCATAATAAACAACGGTCAGGTCATCTCGCATACATTACATAGACACGAACCGCCCGTGACTAGCCGTCCGATCAAGATTATTCACGAGGACGAAGATATTATTGTTATCGACAAGCCTGCGGGTATACCAGTCCATCCTGCTGGGAGATACAACTACAATTCAATAATCGAGATAATGAGATCGGAGCGTGGGCTCGGCTGGATTCCGTATCCATGCAATAGGCTCGATAGGCTTACCTCTGGCATTATGTTTCTTGGAAAACACCCCAAGGCTGCGGAACAAATGGCGAAATCGTTACGATCACGAACTCTTCGAAAGGAATACATCGCGCGTGTAAAGGGCTATTTCCCAGACGGGGTTGTTCTTTGCGACCAGCCGATGCTGAAAGTCAGCCCTATACTTGGTTTAAATCGAGTTAGAGCTACAGGAAAGGATGCTCAAACGAAGTTCCGCCGGATTGCATACTATCCCCCTGTAGAAAAAGAAGATAAGAATGGGGAAGCCACTAGCTCACAGGGCCCTGATTCTAGAGCATCCACACCACCGCCGTTGCCTGCTGATGTTGATGAAGGATACAGTATTGTTCACTGTCTCCCGCTCACAGGACGAACCCATCAAATTCGAGTTCATCTTCAATTTCTCGGTCACCCAATCACAAATGACCCAATATATTCAAACCGCCGCGTCTTTGGTACCAATTTAGGCAAATCTGAAAGCACAGGTGAAAACGATGCTGAAATCATTGATCGCCTTTCACGCATGGGCAAAACTGAGCCGGCAGATTCCCTCTGCTACCAAACATTCCAGACTCCACCCCCAGAGCGTGTTACCCTAGGTGGTGACCCAAATGTCGTTAATGAACTTCTTGCGCGCGAGCACGATGTTATGATAAATGACTATCTTAGGAGGAAATGTGAAAAAATGAACGGAGAGAACTGTGAAATATGCGGCACTGAACTGTACTCTGATCCGGGTGTACATGAGATGGGTATATTCCTTCATGCTGTTGCATATGCTGATAATGCCGGTAAATGGAAATATAAGAGCCAGATGCCTGAATGGGCCATGCCACCTGAAGGTGCCGAGGGGCCAACGGAGGCACCGGAGTGGACCGAAGACCTAGATGGTGCAGTTGTCATTGGGAAAGGCATGATGGAAGACGATGAAACGGCTTTGGTAGAAGGGCTGGGTACTATCAACTTGACGAAGTTAAAGGAAGAGAATATGAAAGCGGAACCCGTTGTGTCTAGCGGCTAAGTATTTGATGCTATAGATTTTCGTATATAGAATATAAATTCTTGCACATATAGACCACGGTTTTAAACGGCGCGAAACTACGTCGAGTACGGAATTCGAAATTTACATATTCATTGGTGAGCAGTTATGATAATTATATCGTAATATCATGAAACTTGTGCATCTGAGGTATGCTTCATTGCTTCATAGGGAAGTCTAGTCACACCTTTTGGAAGTCATTGCTGATGGGTATGTAGTTGAGTGTAATGTGGACATGATCAACTGTTCGCAGGATCATTTGAGTGAGAATCGGGTAATTTATTCATTTTTTTAAAAATTCATCTAACCCAACCCTGGTAGGAAAAACTGTGTTTCGTAGAGTAGAACAAGGACGAAGATTAAGTGATTCATGACAACACCCAGTTCTCCTCAACCGCCCAGCAAACAAACGAACAAACAGGGAAAGCGTTTTACGATTCGGTCGTTAGTCTGCCCTTAGCGTTCGTGACCTTGACACCGAGAGCCTTGGCCTTAGCAATGATATCGACTCGCTTGGCGGAAGAAACAGCGTGACCGATCCTAATTGGCGAGAAAGTAATTAGATATGATCGAAGAAATAGAGATTATAATCTCTGCTTTAATCGAAATGAATACGGGGAAACGTACTCAGCAGCGTATGTGCGGTTGTGCATCAACAATAGCTCAACATCCTTAGGGTTCTGGACAAGGAAGACTTTGTGCCCTGATGGGATCATATGGCGGGTCTTCTTGTTGCTGCCGTATCCAATCTATTGAAGTTGACCTTGCATCAGTACATTCCATTCAATCTGTAATTCTAATTTGCGTCGCCAATGGGGAACTTGATCATCTGACGAGTGCTATTCATTCCCAAGGGCGCCGCGTGGTAGGAATAGAACGTACTTTTGGCATAGCAGCCTGGCCGGAAAAGCGTCGGCGGACACGGTTGTCAATACCCTTTGGTTTGCGCCATGAGGGGTCAACACGCATATAGGTATCAGACTGATGTCTGTTGAAGCGCTTCTTGTCTATATCCCAACAACAAATTCAATCAGCTTATCATCTTCAACCATTTCTTTATATCTTCTCCATCCGATAACGAAGTATCCAATTGCCTTCCATGAGGCAGCACAAGCGCGAATGACCCAGAAATAACTGGTTATACTTCCGGGTGCACATAATTCGAATCGGCGGCTAAGTTATTTGGAGGGAGGAATGTTCGAGGTAGACGTACGCTTCTTCACAATCGGGACATGCTTCTTTGCGGCGACCATCTGATGAACATGAACACAGGTTAGCTCAATTAAACCCAGCAGAGAGGACTCAGCATCGATGTCTGTGACGCCAGTGTCGAGGGCAAACGTACCTTGGCTGATGTTACGGCGTCCCGAAGCTACTCGTTGGGTGATTGTTCTTCGTTGATGTCGTCGTCGAAAAAAAGGAAGAGAAATCTTGAGATTTGCCCGCAGTCGCTTTTCCAACGAATCGCACTTCCCGTTGTGGACTAGCGCAAGTGTTTCTAAGCGAGGAGAGGGTTGATGACTAATAGCCCTATCTTCCATTGCTGAATAATAATGGTCACGTAATGTATGACATAATTATGACGTAATCTGGCAGATGACAACAAAAACAACAACAGACGCCGACGAGAAGAGCCGCATCTTTCTTGCTTATCGAAGGGATTACTATCATACGATATGCGGCAGTGGGAATATTATATTGATAAATTGATTGCCAGCCGAGGACTGAGATAGAACTCCAGAATAACCAGACTCCTGAGCACTCTTGAACCATGAAAATGCAGCAAAAGCACCCGAGTGATGTTTCGGGTGAGAAGGCAGTGAGACTACTAACATATCGCAAACCATCATATAAAAAGCAGTACAAATCATCACAGACGCCATAGTGGGGTATAACGCAGGGGAAAGTAAAGGTTATGAGCAGAAGGAAATAATGTACGGGCCGGAGCTATGGGTTACCTATCAAACCCTTGACTCTTTCAACCCGCTCGACCGCTTTCTCCAACCGCTCAAGCCTCGTCCTTTTCTCCTTGTCCCGCTTTTCAAGCACCTGGACACGCTCCTCGAGCTTTGCTCTCTCCCTCCGCTCGTTTGCTACCATCTCATTTGCTCGCATGAATAGCTCGGCGCTCAGCTCTTCGAGTTCGGTATTTGCTTGCGTGAGACGCGACTCTGCCTCCTTCCGAAGAGCCTGTTCGCGGTTCAGCGCGCCCTGCAGGAAACTGGTTGGTTGTGGCAGGCCATTGTTAAGTGGGTTCATGGTCGAGTGTTCTCCGTTTTTGCCTGCTCTTGTAGATGGGGGAGAAGAAGACGAAGAGGATTGTGGGAGTTGGCTTGAGGACACTGATTGACGAGACTGGGTAGCGCTGGCGTTACTACTTGTTCGTCTGCCATAGGGGAAGTATGAAGCAAGTGTTGCAAGTCTAGTTTGTTGCCGGGGAGGAGAAGGCGACTGCTGTCGTGGCGGTTGCTGATCCAGCTTCCGGAACTCCGGTGCACTCACGGGTTTAGATTGTGAGCTTTGCGACTGACTGCTCATTCCATCCTCATAGTCAGCTAGTTTCTCGGCTAGAAGTAGAAGATTTGGGTGGTCAGCCTCCTTCGTAGCGTTGTACTCCGCATGAAGTCGTAAACATACCAGAGAGAGCAGCTTTCTCGGTCAGCAGCCTGGTCTGCGCCTCCAGCTCCTCTATCCGCCTCTGCTGGGCTATGCTCCTCTCCTGCAGCTGTCTATATGCGCCCTCAAACCCACATCTCGGGCAACCGGTATTTGATAGGCCCTGCGCATCACTGTAGCCGCCGGCTCCTGCAGCGGCTGCGTCCAGGGAGTACGGCGGCCCAATATGTGTGGGTGAAACTGCTGCCGTAGACATATGCTTTTTTCGTCCTCAAAGTCTCGAATCTCCAGAGTCATCCGTGTGCTGTTGGCGATGGTAGAGGAGTCGCATAGCCGCCCACTACCTCATGCTAGCCAGTCCTGCAGCTGCAAGGGTCGGGGCAGTTTGGTCGCGGGAATCGGCAGGGATGCAGAACGGCAGGCGGGCACTTCTGTATAGGAAAAGCAAAGCAAGTATTGTAGGTATTTGATATGCGTCTGGGGAAGATTGACAAGTCGACCGCAAGATGGATCAGCAGGCACTGAACTTCCTTTCGGCCTTTTGAAACGAAGGCTGAGAGGAGGCTAAAAAAGCCACAGTATGCAGGTCAAAAGTTTCGACAAACCCGAAGCCACCACAACTGGTTCTCCTTTCACTTTCCGCTAACTCTGAGCTTGAAGAACAATGGATTTGTTCAGATGAAAGAGAATCGTGAAAGAGAAGATTTTTCGGTTCTTGGACCTGGTGTTCGCTAGGTGAAACGATGCTGCTTGCCGTGCAAGATGTAACAACTTCGCCTCGTCCGTTCCCTATGGCGAATCAGGGGGCTGGTGGAGAGTTACAAAGATATGTACCTTTATTCATATCAAGCTTCAATAGAACCGAACACCGAAGAAACATTATCCGGGTGCTTTGTGAGTAGCAGAGCCTAGAAATGTCCCTCGGCAGCTTGTACAATAGTTATGGAAGTAAATTATGACCAAACTCCTCTATCCTGCTTGCAAACTATGGAAACGCTTTTCCTTCTCCAGACGAGACACACTGTAGCAGATTGGAAGGGAAGAAAAAGGAGGAAGAGATGGATTCCAATAGGAAATACAGCTAGCTTTAGAGAAGGGGAAAAGAAATGTATAATAAAGGGGAGCAAAAGCTGATCAGACTCGTAAGAAAAGACCGTCAGTTACATATATGCGCAAATCTTAGACTAGGGGAGAAAACGCAGCTGGTCTCGACGGTAAAGAGATATTGTGCAACAAGGGCGGCATTCCAGTGGGAGATAAATGACGAATGTCATATTTTTCGCTTGAACGAGGCAGACAGCCTTACCAAAGGCGAGAGCGGATGCCAGATGGAAGCCGGATAACGGAAACCCTCAAAGCAGGAACATATTCGTCTTTCCGAGGAAACGAAAGAAAGATCCCTAGTACCAGCTATGTCCGGCCAGGGATATGGCAGTCGAAGGAGATATCATAGCTAAAAGACACTCGTTTGATGCCGATGCTGTAGTATTGATCCCCCAAACACCAGTGTAAAAGTGACACCAGCGAAGCTGCGCAAAAATAAAAATCATCAAAACAACCAGGTCTTCCGGAAGAAAAAGCGTCATGTACATCGTAAGAGTACATGGAGAGCAATGATGAAGGAAACCCAGCAGCCTTTTTCGAGTCAGTCTCAATCAAAACGCTAGATAAATCACTCAATAGTAGAAAGTCATGCAGATGAAAAGAAAGGTCGAAAATAACAGGAAGGAGACAAGGAATCGTTTGGCGTTTTTGGTAAAGTGACATGACATGACATGAAAAGGAAAAAGTTTCAAATTTCCCGTGGAAAAAAAAGGTATAAAGGAGGCTAGGAAGATATGCTGCAAGAAGACCGGGTACGGTCTGTAAGGTAGATCGATTCCTACTCTTCCTTCATATCGCAGTAGCCAAAAAAAAGGGACAAGAAGACAAAACTCAAGGGGTAGTTAAAGGGAAGAGAGAATTGAATGAAGAAAGGATGTCGAATAAAGTCCGTTACTGTAAAGAAGGGAAAAACCGCATCGTCATTTTCGGAAACGTTGAAAGACATCGCTTATCTGGTCGTTATTACGAGAAGGCAAGGACATGGCGGAAGAGCACTGTATAACAGGGGTATAGAAGCGACTCTGCGAGTAGGTTGACATCCAAAGTTAGATTGGTGAACGTCCAGCATATTGCGGTGACTTTGTCTGCAGGTCCTCCGGTGTAACCTTCCTCTGATATTGGGTATCAAATTGTTGATGCTTAAGAGGCCTGGGCACCACGGTTATAGTTTCCACGACGGGGATTCTTCTGCTTTGCGCTGACGGTGCTCCATCCGTCTTCATCAGGTGTAGCAGGAGAGGCTGGAGTTGCAGTCTCTGATGGAGTACCTTGAACAGGAGGGCCACGCTGGGAGGTGCTGCGAGATCCTCCGCGGCTGTGAGGTGGTCCACCACGGCCACGGCCACCACCGTTTCGCCAGCCGCTGCTTGTCCGGCTTTGTAGCGGTGGGCGGCCCTTGTCTTGACCAGCTTCAGTCTTCTGGGTAGGAGCGGCTGCCTTTTCACTATCATCAGCGGCTTTCTCCTCGCCTTCTTCACGTTTTAGAATTTCAACAGGCTTTCCTTCTGTGGTATCTTCCTTGGTTCCATTGGCTTCTGCTTTCTCGGCCTCCTCCTTTGCAGCCTTCTCTGCTTTTTGCTTCTCTAGGCGTTCGGCCTTAGCTTTCTCATCAGCCTCTTTCTTCTGTTGCAAGGCCAGCTCTCGCTTCTCAGCTACTTCCTGTTCACGAGAAGCAGTATCAATGGGCTTTGCGCCTCCAAAGATACTGGACTGAGCTTCGGCAACGGCTGGGGAGGGCGCAGCAGCCTCAGACTCAGGAATTGTCCTCTTCTGCAAGTTAAGTCTTGGTCTTGCTCCAGGAACAGGAGCTGTGGCGGCGGCAGTTGGAGTTACAGGCTCAACAGGGGTTTCCGGTTGAGCGGGAGCATCCGGCCGCATCCTAGCTCTCCATTGATTATCAAGCTCGGGCGCAGTTGGAGCCCTTTCAGGTACAGGACGCTCGGTAAATTCTCGGCGGGGTGGTCGAGAGCCATCTTGGGAGCGGCCTTCACCCCATGCTGGGGAGGCTCTGCGGAATTGAGGGCCATCTTTGCTGTGGGGACGACCCTCCCTGGAGGGAGCGCTTTGCAGGCTAGGAGAAAGAGGTCCCTTTCTCTCCCAGTTGGAAAAATCACGCGATCTACCGTCGTTGGCGGCTTCATAGGCACGTCGGCCAGGGCGCTCATTTGCAGCGTCAGAAGCAGGGTCGAAATTGCGGGCGCCACCGAAACCTGGGCGATCTGATACGCGTCTCTGACCCGGAAGGTCAGGCAGTGGGCCCTTTCGGGTCCAGTCGCTAAGGTCTCTTCCATCATGTCGGTCCTTGGCTGTACAAACGGTTAGTCACCACAGTTGATTTGTTTATCGGAAATTAACGGAAAAAAAGTTACATACGAGGTTCTGCAATGCTCACTCGGATATTTCTCCCTTGAAGGGAGGTACCCTGGAATGTGAGTGCCTTCTTGAGGCCGTCAACTGAGGCAAATTCAACATAGCCAAAGCCTTTTGGGGATCCAGTAAGTTTATCCTCCACAATACGAACACTGGTAACCTCACACTCAGCGAAGAGCTCCTGGATATCGGCCTGGGTGGCATCGAAGGAAAGGTTACCAATGTGAGCGGTATATGGTGGCTGGGTGGGCATAGGTAGTTCTTCTCTCATGGAGTAGACACGGTCTTTTTTATCAGAGGAAAGACTCTGTCAGCAGAGCATGCGATTATCAAAGGAGGCTGTTGTTTTCTTACCGTGATGCTCCTGGGCATATCCGCCGGAAGTTCCAAACGTGCTACGTTCACGGTCTCCGCCATAGCCAGATCTGGGTGCGTAGGAGGAGACTGATGTGCATAGATGTTATTATATTAGGAGGCGGTAGACTCGGGATTTCGAAGCGAGATTAACTCACCGGCTGCGTCGACAGGAAATAGTCAGCGATGATCGTAACACACACGGATAGAAAGCACTTACATGGAATAGGATTATCTTCCATCTCATCGGCCCAGGAGCCGTAGGCTAGTTATCATGGCCGTTAGCAACTAGGCTTCCCACATCCCTCCAACGCCCCCTCCTCTCCAAAAACCCCCAGGACGGCTCAAACTCACTCTCATCCGCCAGAAAAGTCCCAATGGACATCTTCTGGGCTTTCGACTTTGCAGAAGCTAGACATGTCGTAGTTAGCGACTTGACTTCCCTTCGGATGTGCACTCCTTGAGCCTGGTTCATGGTGGCAGTTTTTTGTGGAGTGTGGAACAGGACAAAAAGGTGAACCAACCCATGATTGCGATTAAGACAGGACGCGCAAAGGCGATGCGCGTAAATAACCTAAGAGAAAAGCCTATAGGTAAACGGGTCCCAAGGCACCGGCAAGAAGTAGCTTATCTTTCGAGAGGTTGTGTATGTGGTGTGTGGTGTCTTATGCAGGTCAAAGAAGAGAGCGGAAGAGTGTCTTTTTTAGTTAAAATGATAAATTTTGGCGATGACGCTAAAAGAAGGAAAGAAAAAAAGTCAGCGTGCGTGAGGGCAGCTGGCCAATCAGAGGGCTTAAAAGGCATAACGCTTAGGTAATCATGGCATCTAGGGCAGCGAGGTCGACGAGGAGGAAAAGACGGCAAGACGACGAACAGTAAGGAGGAAAGGAAAGTAATAATAAACAGATGCATGGCGTGGATGGTGTTGCTGCTATAGGTATTCATTGGATAACTAGTATATGCTATGCAATCGGTGATATCTGGCAGTTTGTAGAACGCAGTATCACGCTTACTGGTATGGCTGCGATAAGTGACGAGTACCTGAAAATCACAATATGTCTATACTATAGGATGAGAATGTTGATACGGATATAGGTATATTCTCGGGTCAGTAATGGATATATGTTGAAAAGTTGGCTGCAGGCTTGGGTTAGAAGCCAGTCAATGCCGTCATCTTCTAACGTGACTGATATGTTAGAGACGTACAGCCCTGTTAAAATAAACAATCCTTTCTGCGCCTGTTTATCAAGATTGCTGTCCAAATGTGTTTCTCTAGAAGTAGTAAAGAACCTCATGCCAGTCCAAAGAAGCGCTTGTCAGTGGTATAGTAGATACACAACCCCAATAGCATATAGCCATCTACATCGGATACCAAAGTACAGGCCGAAGTGGTCAGTGTCAAGCCACCGTCTTGCTCGTTGTCGACACGTTGACCCCATCGGTTCGATAGAAAGATCTCGTCTTATCTTATCTGATCGGCGCTCGGCCCATACCAGCAAAACCTTATCTCCACCTTCGTTCCCAGCGCTCCCGCTTGGCATCAGGTTGGTCTCGATAATTGAAGGAGACAAAGACGAGATTTATTGCTACTTTCTTCAGTAAATATTCACATGAGTCCGAGCATTTTGAGGATCAAGCTTACTCAACTTACTTATTTAGCCTACAGCAAAGGAATATCTAAAGCCGTTAGGCGCTGATATGTACTTTTTTGAGTATTAATCACCTTTCCTAGCTTTCCTGCCGCGTGCTGAATGGCATCAACGGAAGACCGTATACTGTATCGTCCAATCACAGCCTAAGTTCGTGATTACTAATCGGGGTCACCACTTTGAAACCCTAACCAATCGGTAAGGCGAACGGTTGCGTCTCAAGACAGGTGCCTGCTTATTATCTCAGATCTGTTTGAGAGTTTGCATGATATAACTAATAGGAAAGGCTTCGCTCATCGCAAGGAACATGAAAATGCATTTTTACCCGATGGTGAATCCTAGATTGAGCCAGGCTACCGTCCACTCACGAATGCTGGATAATTGTTAGTCCGGTCTCATGTCGGGGCAGGCAATCAGCCCAGCAGACCATCACAATGCAGTGGATGGATCTACATCTGCACTGAAAGGCAGATGGCCTGGTTGAGAAAATGCATACAAAATGAGTAGAGAAGGTGAGCCGAGCGCGTCTCGCACATCCATACCTGTGCTCCCGGTCCTGCAAGCTGGTGCCATAGGCGGTATGTAAAGACTCATCACCCTGGTTGAAATTATATTGACCTAGCGTATCGTCCAGGCACTTGCGGTCTTCTCTATGGCGGCGTATCTGGAGTGCTGCGAGCACATCACCCGATAATAAAATCAATATCCACTGGAATCTACTGGTTTGCATTCGGCAGCTCGTTCTGGTGTAAGTGTTGCTCTTGAAATTGGCCCTCCGTTGTGTTAACTTAGATAATGCTAGGGCTGAGGAGCAATATCCTCAGAATCCAATTCGAAGACAATGCAACACCGAAAGAACGCATTTATTCAAGTGTTGCGTCCAGTGGCCTGTCAGGAGGGGCCATCAATTTGGCAATGAGTGAGTATTTGCCAAGTGTCATTGTTATAACCTATGCGTATCACTCCGACGATTGAAACATTCATGTATTGGCAACATAACTAAAATAACAAACAGATCGACGCTTTCTTCCTGGCCTAGTTATCTGTTCCATGTTGGGCTTTGTGGGACAGTATTCTTACAATAAACTTGAGGAGCGTCAGGCACGGCTCCAATCAGAACCAACGTCGACAAAAACATGGGCCGAACGGATGGCCGATTCTCGATGGATACCAATCAGAAATCTATCAAATGAACAGTATAAAACCATGCTACAAGAAAAGTTACTTAGTGTCGACGTGGAAATCGCATTAATCGATGATAGGCTGAAAGAATTGAAAGGCCCTGGAGATGAGGAACCAGGTACTGGTAAATAACATATAACATATAGTTACGTTGGTATTTTTCTGTATAATTTGGTTCCTTTGTTGTTTGTCCTGCACTGTAGTTTCTCGGTCAACGACCGAACAGAGATTTCCCTCGGTTTAACAGCCCATCCAATACATTCAATGACTCTTTATTTAGAACGGCTTTACGACCAGAATTCACTCGCCCGAAAGGTAAGTTTGTATTCTTCCATAACTACTCGGTATTTCGGGTGCTTACAAACGCCACCCGTTAAGTTAGGGCGTAGTTAGGTGTTTCTAGTAGCCATTCTTGGACCGTATATTTATATTTCCAGATTGCTCTTTATGGACTCTACATTGAAAGTTTCGTTGCTTGATTCGTGCTGAAGGATATTATCTCGAAGCAGTTATAATGAATTCCATACCCACAGGGTTACAAAAAAAGCCCAGGGTGCTGAGCCTAGGTACTACCAAACACCTGGGCGAAGACTTCATCGCAGAGTTCCAACGGGAATTTGATTTATCGGTACTAGAGATCTGCCCCCGAGGTCAATTAAAGAGCCGACTGGAAGATGACATCAAAGAACATGGTCCAGTGGACGGATTTATCATCGGGCCAAATAGCATACCGTATTATCCGTTTGATGAAGAGGTTCTCTCGCCGCTGGTACCGGGTTGTAAAATAATAGCGAGTCTTACCTCTGGCTACAATATGTTTGCTGTAGAATGGATCGCAAAGCAGGGGATGTGGCTCACGAATACCCTCGATGCTGTTGCAGAGCCCACGGCAGACATGGCTATGTTCTTATTGCTGGCAGTCTTTAGAAATACAACGAATGCAGAACAGAGCGCAAGAGCGGGGACCTGGAGAAACAACCTGAATCCAACTCATGATCCATCGGGATGTACCTTGGGCATCGTAGGGCTTGGAACCATTGGAAAGGTAAGTAACTTCACCTAACCATCGATATATGACTATAGTGTCTGTGTACTGACAATAGCTTTTTTCCCTCTAGTATCTGGCTAAAAAGGCCGCTGCATTTAACCTCAAGGTCATATATCATAATCGAACTCAACTGTCTGCGGACATTGAGTCTGAGTATGGAGTGACATATTACGCCTCATTGCACGAGATGCTTGCAGCCTCTGATGCAGTCTCCATCTGCTGTCCACTGACGGAACGGACCAAGGGTTTAATAGGACCAAAGGAATTTGCAGTGATGAAAGACGGTGCTTATCTAGTCAACACAGCTCGCGGACCGATCGTGGATGAAAAGAGTCTGATAGAAGCTCTTGAAAGCGGGAAGATAGCCAGAGCAGGTCTTGACGTTTTCAACGAAGAGCCGGACTTCAACCCGTATTTCAAGACCAGTGATAAGGTTATAATTCAGCCGCATCTTGCAGGTTTGACCGACGCAGCTGTTCGAAGAGCAGGCCGGGAAAGCTTTGAGAATGTGCGTGCTCTATTTCGGGCGGGAAGGCCAATCTCTCCTGTCGTTGATATACAACTTAATGTTGGATAGAATCAGAGTAGAATAGAAGATTTGAATGCAAGGCCGATCACCTTGGAAGATATATTTTCAAGTTGCTAATGCCTTTAGAGATACTCTCATGACCTAACGGATCCATTACTGCTGGTCAGTCTCTCCAGTTCATTTGGATAACTTCGGGTATCGCTGGCTACTTGCAGACGGTATACTTCATAGCTTGACACAGCACCGGTCGACACAGTAAGTGATTTAAAGATACCCTTTTCCAAGTTTCTGTCCTGTTCGGAGGAAAGGCTGTAGGCAGAAGAGTCTGCAGCTCAGGGAGTTTTTAGAACGCCTTGTCTTGTTGTTCCCTACGAAGGGCCTTAGAGACTTCTTCTAGTGATGATGCATTTTCGGCCATACTTCTGTCGTTGAGTCAGGATCAAATAATCGGCTATTGGATATTGGGTATTGGATTACTTTTCCAGCCGGGCATCGTCAGTAATGAGCTATATTTCATGGATAGATGATTGCTGAACTCGCGCCGAGAAAGACGACTCATTTAGAAGAGCAAAAGGAGGGACCCTTAATGGGATATCAATGTACTCAAAGATTCAACGTTGCACAAAGATGGAGTAACTCAAGTTTCACTGATGATATTAGAATGTTTATTTTCGCCACTGGGCAATGAGTGCAGGCAACTAGTCAGCTACCTCTCTACTTACACCCACCAGAGAACGCATATATCAACACAAGATACCCATATCTACATATTATTAATATGGCAGAAGAATCTATAAATGCCAGGGATGAGAAGAAGAACAGTGATAACCAGAAAAGAAATGCCTGTACGGTACTTTCACGGCCAATATAGATCTACCCAGCTAACTGATATCGAACTATTGAAGTCGCCGAATTAATGAACCCCAGACAAAAGCGCGCAGCCTCGCCGCCTACCGAGCCCAAACCCTCTCGTCTGAAACCGTTCAAAAACCGCGACAGTCTAGGAGCCTACATCAAAGATCCTGAGTCCTTCTCCGCGTCAACCGTCATATCCCACTCGCCGGAGTTCGTGGTGATCCACGACCTGTACCCCAAGTCCGCCGTACACCTACTCATACTGCCTCGAGACCCCCAAAAATTCTTCCAACACCCCTTCGTCGCCTTTGAGGATGCGAGTTTCCTTGACAGTGTAAGGCAGGAGGCTGCCAGGGTTCAAAAACAAGCTGCTTCAGAGCTACGAAGGAAGTTCGGGAAGGTTTCGGCTTTGGATAGGAAGAGGAGTGAGGCGCTTGATGCCGATGATGATGGGGATGCGGATACGGTACCTGATGAGCTGCCGGAGGGGAGAGATTGGGGTAAGGAGATAATGTGTGGGATACATGCGAATCCGTCTATGAATCACCTACATATCCATGTTATTTCGGTGGATAGGTGTGGGCATAGTCTAAGGCATAGGAAGCATTATAATAGCTTTTCGACTCCGTTTTTTGTCGAGCTTGATGCGTTCCCGCTGGCGGAGGACGACAAGCGCAGACACCCCGCTAGAGAAGGGTATTTAAAGTCGGATCTGAAGTGCTGGAGGTGTGGCCGGAACTTTGGTAATAAGTTCACTCAGCTGAAGGCACATTTAGAGGAAGAGTTCGAGGAATGGAAACGTATATAGGCATATTAGCATATCCAAATTACTTGATAATTATGCAGGAGAGTGGAGGAAGGAGTATTATTAGATGAAGATTTTGATTAATGCACCTATTACCCCCTATAACTAAAGATTAAAAGCCTTATCTGCGCCAAACAACTCAACAAATAAGGACGGGAAGAGAAGGAAAAGATAATAACCGCCTGCGCCAGTGACTCCGAAGCTCCATACCAAAAAAGAAGAAGATTTTGTAAGAAAGTGAGCGACGCGGGCTCCTTGACGAAGAATGAGAAGAATCGGTGGACTGGACGGCCATATCTTGAAGCAAAGGAAGAAAGAGAAGCGAATACAAGGGTATAAGGAGTGTGAGAAGGTTGCAAGGAAACAAGAATAGAATGAAGTGAAAGTAAGCAAAGAGTGAGAGATACCGAGATCCCGCATCATGCTTGGGTGGTCGTCAAAGGATCGTGAGATTTCTCGACCGTCTAAGTGATGAGTAGGAAAGAAGGCAGGGGTGGGTGGATGAGAAAAGGTATACTTCCCTCCTTCACAACCGCTTGGAGCTGGCCCGGCGATCTAGCATGGACCAAAGGCTGGAACCTTCATGGACCTCGGGGAGGTGGTAGCCATTGAGCATCTCGTTCTCGACGAAGATTGAGGCACGCTTGAACCTGCGGTCTGCGTACTTCTCGTATATGGCTAGATGGTGCTGCTGTGGAGCCTCACAGCATTCGAGGATGAGGCCAATGAGTTGGTAGAGCTGGCCGAATGTGTATCCCGAATAGAATACATGGGCAGGGGTCTAGGTGGAACATGTCAGCAATGAGAAACACCGAAACATAAAAAAACAGGATAAACCAAGTCAGGACGAATAATGAGCATACCCAGTCCCCTTTTCTCAGCATCAGTCTGGCTAGACAGTGGGCGCCGGCAGCAGTGAAACTCGGTGGCGTGCCTACGAACCGCTCGTCCATGATGGTGAGTTCCAAAAAATACTTTGCGAGAGTACGAGTTTCCAGGTCATAATCATCAGCCTTGCTAATCCGACGGAGGAAGCTCATTGGCCCTGGCCATCCGAGCTCGAACTGGAGCATGCTAAGCATGAAACGTTCAGCCTTGAGAATCTCGTCAACGGTGTATCCGTTATCAACCATGTAGACGATCTCCTGTACCGAGGGACAGTTGATCTCTTCGTACTTTGCAGCGATAAAGATAGCGGTGGCGCCAACGAGCTGGAGCTTGCCCAGCGAGACGATCTTGCAGGACAAGAAACGGTCTATGTAGTTGACGCAGAGGAAAAGGGTCTCTGGAAGAAGCGAGAAGCGGTGGTGGACCTGGACCAGCCAGTCCATCAGAACAGAGCGCATTGACCACTGAATCTCTGCTTGGTTATCCATGTAATGGGCATTTGGGAGGAGCTTGAGCTATTAAAAACAATAGCGTTAGCATTGGCATTATCAGCAGTTGCAAAAGGCACATTGGCACATAACATACCTCGAGTTCCCTTAGGTATTGGAAGATCTCTTCACCATATTCAGCTACCATTGTAGTATCCCGCCACTCGTCATCGTACTCTTCGACAGAGGTAGAGGTTTCCATGATTTGCCTTGCCAGAGCTAGTTCCCGGCGGGACTGCTGGCTCATTTTAGGGAATAGTACCATTGTTGCGCCGCCAGTGGTATTATCACGGGAGCGGTATGAGCGAGCAGTGGCATAGCCATCTTCGTCATAGTTGTCCTCGTCCTCTTCGTCCCAGTATTCTTCTGGTTCGGACTGGTCGTATTTACGCGACGAGATGGTGATATCACTTGGTCGTTTGGTCGATGGCATTGAGCCTTTGGCTCCATCGCTGGATATCCTGGTAACCTTTGGCTTTGTCACCTCATCGGCATCCTTTGCATTATGATTTGGCACTGGTGGTCCGGATTCGACGGTTGCCTTGACAACGGATTCTTTAACTGCATATTCTTCTGTAACGGCCGTAGCTGCAGGCATGGTTTTGGTTACTTGAGCAGGAGCAGGTTCAGTAGTGGCTGGTTTGGGAGCATTGATCGCGCCCTTGACGTCCCTTTCGACCTCTTTGGATGGCTCAGCAGATTTTGACGATGCCTCATTCACGGTAACCTGAGGGGCAGAAGCCTTTTCCTGCTGCTGCTGCTGCTGTGGTTTTTGCTGCTTGGTGGTTGGTTCCTCGACGACCGGCTGCAGAATTGGGTCTTTAAAGACAGCGTTTGCACGTTTGGTCTGAATCTTTTTAGCCTGCGTCTTCTCTGAGCCAGGCTTTATACCGACTTCGGCGTTAATGATGGCATTCACTGCCGGCTTTGTACTAATGGAGTGAATGGGGCGCTGCGCTGGGCGAGCAAGACAGAGCGGCTTCTCGGTGATTTTGATAGTGTCCTTGGATGGGAGAGAAGAGTCATCTTTGGCGGATCGAAGGGAATTGACGGTGTTGCTGACATCTCCAAAGGCAGCACGTCTGACTGACTCCTTGCTGGTAGCGCTGCTGTTGCTGTTGCTGTTGGCCAGGGCCGATAAGGCAGGCGACGACTTGTTGCGGTGATGGATGGTCTTTCCAGCGCGGTTGAAGGCAATCATGTTCTCATCGACTCGACCGCGAAGGGTGCGAGCTGGTCTCTGTGGCTGTTTGTAATGCATCAATTAGCCCAAACAAGGTCTTCAAGTGATAAACTGACGGATGCAGGAGGGCGTGGAGGCTAGAGGCAGCAGGGAGGTGACGGGCAGCTAAAGGGGCTACATACCTTTGCGTCCATGGCGAAGTCGACGACAGAGACTGATATAGACAGGAAGAGTGACTACTGTCCAGCTATCATCAAGAAGAATACAGAGTATCAATATCGAGAGCGGTCTTCTGTGGATAGGATGTTTGTTGATAAGTGTCTCTCACTTGGCCTCAGTTGTTGTTGTTGTTATTGTTGTTGTGGGTGCTGTTGCTGAGGCAGTAGTCAAGGGTAAGATAGGCGGGAAAAAGGGATCACACAGCCATGCAAGCAAAAGCAGAGACCAAGACGGGCGAGTTTGTTCAGTCAATCCCCTGGGCAGGCTGTCCGCGTCCTCGAAGTGTGTGTGTGTGTGTCTCTCCGCTGGTGGTCCCGCAAGCAGTCCGCCCCGTTGCTGTCTCTCGTCCTGGCGTCGTCGTCGTCGTCCTCCTCGTCGTCTGGCCTGCTTTTGCTGGTGTTTTATTTTCTTTTCTTGTTGCTGGAAAGAGAAGAAAATAAACAAAGCTAGGCCGCATGCGGTTAGCGCCCGACGGCGGTCTGGCTAAGCAACCAAAGTCTTGGCAGATTACGTCATGCCATTAGTCGCGCGGCGGCGCGTCTCCCACGAGAGCCGCAAGAAGGCGTTTGCGCATGCTAAGCGCGCGCCTGGCCTGCGGGCAGCGAGATATTTTGTCCACGAGCTGCGGCGGGCGATGCGACAAGCCTGGCGACCAGTTTGCGCCCTGCGAAACCGTCAAGTGGCCGCTGCAGGGGAGTTCGTGGGGAAGCCGCTTTTCGCGTGTCGAGGAACACGAAAAGACGCCAACACACGTGACCTGGACCTGCCTCATTTCTTGCGAACGACAAAGCGACAAAAAGCGCAAAAGCAACGACGAAGGAACGACGACGTCGACGCAGCGACAGCGCTGGCCAGGCCGGCTGACGGGGCGCCAGCAGAGGGCGGCGGAGGGCAGATGAAGGCTGCGAGACGCAAGGGACAGGCCGACAGAGGCATCTTCTGACGTCAGGATGGGTCAGTGACCCCGATTTTAGTGCGGATGGCTGCCGGCTTCGTCCCGGCCGCTACCGACACAGCCTGCCCACCGTTTGAACGGCGGCGATGCGACGAGAAGAAGGGCCCATCAAGTCGAAGCGACGCCGGCATCGCAAGGTCCTCGGAGCGCTGGGCTGTTTCCCCGGGGGGTCCTCCTCCTCGCCGGCGCTGACACAGCCAGCAGAGAAGCAACCAGGGCGGCCGTTCATTTCGGTCACAGGATCCTCCCCCCCATCGCAGCGCACAATATTCCGAGCCCGCGATCGTAGGAACTTGCGAGAGCCAAGCGGGTTTCACTTTTTTTTTTTACAACAAACATGCATCCAGTCGCCTGCTCTAGCCTATTGTTGTCGCATTCACCAGCTTAGCCGTGGTGCCACCGGGCTCTCGCTGAGGTCGTTCCCCCCCGTCGCTCAGGCCTCAAACTGCCGTTTCTCCAGCAGTGTATCAGATCCCTAATATTTCCTTTTAAAAATATATACTTCATATATATGACCATGTATAAACGTATGGGGGACAGCGTCAGAGGGCGCTTGTATCGCAACTCCCCCCCAAAAGAAAATAAGGGTCATCCACACACGACGGCGAGAAGGGAGAATGATGTGGATCAGTGCTGGCGCAGTAGGAAGCAGGACAGCCAGAGCAGCGTCTCAATCCATGCGACTGGCCATTGATGCAAGTTTGCGCCGGATATTAGCGAAATATGTTTCCTTGACTCTTCGTCGATACGGGGTCTGGAGTCGCAAGGCGCAAAAGAAACGAAACAAGGCCGAAGAGAGAGAAAGAGAGATTTAAAGCATGCATTATATATTTCATCATGCTGGAGCTTCTTCCTGCTGGGCCGCTGGCTGCCGCCAATAATAATAACTAGCCTGCCGCTTCTGCTGTCTAGCCGACTCTACTACGTTTGCCTCGAGAAGTAAGACAGACAAACCGCTGCGAAAAGAGGCAGAGGAAGGTCGTTCGACCGGTTCAGGTTCTTAAGTTCTGCTCCTGCGGAGACCGAATGCAGAGCGAAGTGGCCGGCGCATGAAGCAGTCACTTTTATAACCTTCCTCACACTAGATCGCCAGCGCCACCACGATGCCATGGGATCTATCTCAACTATCGCCGAGAACGACCAGCAGGGAGGGCAGGCGAGCAGGCGAAACATGAAACTATTGACCACCCGTTGGTTGGTTGGTTGGTTGGGGGTGGTGGTGGTTTGCTTATTGCTATTTATTGCTATCTCAGCTCCTTCTCCTGCGCTGCCCTCTATTGCGCTGCTTCTCCTGCGGCCACGTCAGGGAACGATGGGACCGCCCTGTTCCTCGATCGCTCGGGTTACTCTTCAAGAAAAAAAAAACCTTCCTGACTCCTCTTTCCCTCTGCCCCATCCCTGTCCACTTAACTAAAGGACCGCCAGCTTTGGGAGTCTCGGAAGTGTAGGAGAAAGAAGGGAGAGCCGGGGTGGGATAGAGGATCAACCCGTCGACGTCCTCCGTTCCCCCCAGCCGCTGGATACTTGAACAACGCATTGAAGGTCCGCCCTGCTCCCTAGCTAACAATGCGTATCGTATCGAATCGAAGGGTGCGAAAACTATGTATGGTTTGACTACACAACTTAACACACACACCCCTTGTTGCGCAGTGTGCCGCTGGGTGTTGAGCGTGGCCAACCCAAGCTGCAGAACTCGGGTGGATCGTCGCAAAGACATGGCAAATGGACCCAATCCCAGGCGCATTTAGGTTACAGGTCCTCTCTTCCCAGGATTATTAGTTAACAACGACGGGCTCTGCTTTGGAAGAACAAGCACGCAGGCTAACAGCAGCAGCAACCCAGAAGCATCAGATCAGAGGGAGGGAGGGAGGCCGCCGAACTTCCCGGGCGAAAGAGGCACGGCCAGCTCATATACTTCCGGGCTGGCCCTTTTTTTTTTATTTTTTATTTTTTTTATTTTATTTTTGATTGATAGTTATCAACTTGTCTTGGAGGGAAGAGGGCTTTCCGCCGATTCTAGATGGACACAAACAACGGGCTGACAGTGACCTGACTGACGGACCAAACTGGCTTGACGGTTGATAGACGACCTGACAGCAGCTCAGAGCGCATTAGCAGCAGGAGCGTCATGAGGCGTAATTGGGCCTCGTGCCTTAGTTGCGCATCAGGATCCTGACTGAGTCTTTTCTGTCTTTGGGCAGCGGATGCGCATCGCATAGTAGAAGGGGGATATGATAGACCGGCCGTAGAAACCAAGTAGCAGCCCGTAAACAGGAGACACAGGCAGCCCAGCCCGGTTCGGCGCCTGCGTCCAGAGCCTTAAAAAAGGGAGCAAATGATAGTAATAATAATACGCTGCATGACTAGCTGAGATAACTCTCGCTGACCTGGCCGGCGGTGGTGTGAAACCTCCTCCACCGTTCGTTCGCAACCTACATCCACACATCATCATTCTTCCTCCCTCGACCCTCGCTGCACGCCCAACAACCTCCTCGACCAGCCTGATATCCCAGACTGCTTCGTCCTGCCGCCTGCTCAGTAGCCACGGCCTGCCGGTAAGTCATCTCTCTCCTCGCCGGCCTCGTCTGCCCTCCAAAGCCGCTCTATAATTCTTGCCGCTGATCTCCATTCTGTGACAGGACCCAGACATCTCACAGCGCCCCCAAGGCCATCATCACCACCTCGCCAGCACCCAGCGTCTACAGGACAGACCCCCAGCAGAGTCTCGTTGCGATCTTGCGATCCATCCCTCGCCATTGTCTCCAGCTGTAGGTATCGCTGTGCTCCCGTTTCTCCTGTCTGCTCGCCCTGCCGTCTCGAGCGACCATGTTTTCCCCTACCCGGGGACAACACACACCTTTGTCTGCCTGGAATAGGAGCCAGCGTCTGCCCTATTGACGGGCTGGCAGGACACAATTATCTATTCTCCCGCCCTCTATTGTCGCTACAGACAGCTAACTGCGCCCTCTGCTCTATTTATACAGCTCGCTTGCTCGTTGCCGGCTATCCTGCCTACTAGAAATTTCCACTTTCTCACCGGCACTTCCATCAGCCAGCAGGATATACCTCCATCGCCCTCTCTCTGCGACCAGATCTGCCTCCCTGACCGGATTATACACTCGATTCCCTACCTCCTGACATATCCTCTCTCATCTGTTTGCCCCGGAACTTGTATGGGAACTGCATCACCAAAGAGTCGGTCTCACCCTACCAAGGCCTCTTCGTCGCATTCGCCTACCTGCACCATCAACAACGCCATCACCCAGCAGTCCGAGGCAATAATCCATCGGATATGCCTCAGGAACCGCGGGTGAGAATGCATCCATCAGCTCATGTCTGTGAAGTGTCAGGATCTGGCGGCCCGGTCTCCGAGAGCCAGGCATACTTTGACGAGCAGCCCCAGGCTGACCGTCCGGCCAAAAATGAGTCTCCTTCAAACCCGTCTCCAAAGCATGTGGCCTTCGAGCTGCTGCTCGACGAGTCCTCGAAGATGCGGGCTCGCATTCCAATGAGGGTCCAGATCTATCCCCATGACACTACCGACTCCATCGTCACTACGGTCAAAAATTTCTATGGGATCTACGAAGGCACCGCCAGCGGCGTTAGCTTTGAGGACCAGGATGGCAACACACTCATTGCCAGGTACGAGAACCTCAAGAACAGCATGACTGTCTATGTCCGAGTGATACCGAACCATCATTACCCCGAACAACACTCACCGCCGTCATACTATGCCATCTCCCCGATGGACAACTACTCCCGGCCTACCCTTGGCGAACCATTCTCTATGCCACCTCCCCAGGGCAACCAGGCTATCAACTATGGCCAATCCGTCTCCCGTCCTACTTCGCGCGCTGCTGCTGGAAAGCGAAGTGTCTCTCCTCCTGCCCGAGGTCGCCGAAGCGCCTCGAGGCAGAAGTCATCTCGAGGAGGTGTCAAGAGCCGTGGCTCAAGCACCCATGGAAGCTTCCATGATGACGCACATATGCCTTGCAGTGACAGTGATGGAGGCCATAGCTCAGTAAACGGCTCAAGAAGGCCCAAGAGTGAGCACTTTGGTAGTGCTGATATCAGCATGGAAAACATCCTCCAAGATGGCAGAAGGAAGCGCCCGAAGTTCGAGAGCTCCGTAAGTATCAAGCTCTGCAGACATTAACCCACCTGTTTCCATATCTAATCTCGATATTAATGTATTTTATCCCAGGAACTTCCCTTGTTTGCTCCTCCACAAGTGCCTCGCACAACTTCGGCATCCTCCATTTCTCCCCAGCGACGCTCCCTTGCGCCCGATGCCTCGCCATTCGCAAGACCCAACCAGAACGCCTTCAGCGGCTATCAGGCGCTTTCCTCCCCCCAGGGCTTTGGCAACCACGAGAAACTGCATTCTCTTCAGAATGGAAGCGGGAGTAACCCATATGCGACTCCCACTGTACCACATCATGGCCACAGGCTACGGAATCGAGCCAACTCCAACTCGGCGGTACACTATGCTACCCCAGTGAATGGCCATGGCATCTTGCCTACTCCTGATCCAACCATTGCTAGTTGCATCTCGGACGAGGACGTTGCCATGCAGCTCATCAGGCTCGGAGACACCTCCAACTTCTCCCACGGCCGTAACTCCACTTCCACTGTTGACGATGCGTTCAGTGGTATCGCCGACGCCGCCTCTTCTACCGGCGCAACCACGGACATATCTGATGTCAGTGGTGATGAGACGGACCTGCCAACCAAGATTAGAGAGCGTCGTGCATCAAGTGGCTCCCTCCCAGCCTTGTCCAAGAAACACAAGACATTGGACGAGATCCTTCCTAGCTGTGAAAGCAGCGATCCAGCTAGTGATGATATCGATGGTGAATACCAAAATCTCGCCTCTCAAGATAACATCAAGAGCGAATATGATGATGACCCATCGTATGAGGCACAGTCTTCTCGAACCAAGCGTGCAAGGAAATCAGCCAGCGCAGCAACCACTGCTGCAACCTCAGCCAAGGGCACCGGCGCCAAACAAACCTCTACGGCTAAAGGAGGACGCAATGCAAAGAACCGCTCTGCCCCTGCGTCTCGCAAGGGTAAACAAGCCCCAACTAGCTCTGCCAAACCGGTGCCACCCCCAATACTCCCAGCCACCGCTCAGCAGGGAGGTGTCAACTTCCACAACCAGCTAGCTGCTGATGAGGAAGATCTCTCCACGAAGCCACGCTGCCAGAGATGCCGAAAGAGCAAGAAGGGCTGTGACCGTCAGCGCCCCTGCCAGAGATGCAAGGATGCCGGCATCGGTATCGAGGGATGCATTAGCGAGGACGAGAATAACGGTCGCAAGGGCCGATATGGCCGCCACATGGGTGTTTCTGTCAAAAAGGACCCTGCCGCCATTGCTGCAAAGGCTCAGGAAGCACAAGACACCGCCGCCCAAACTCCTGCTTCATCCACCACGGCAACGGTTCCGGACAAGAACAAGAAGCGAAAGCGCTGATTGTGAAAGCCCTCAGTGGTTCAGGGAGACCTTCTACTCTCGCCGTCACACCACTGCCTTGACGTTCCCTGTTTTCGAGTAACAACCTGCAGCATCGAATATTCCTTTGTGCGAGCACATACTCTTTCATTACCAATGCATGCCTCCTGCTATTCGAGTTTCGGCTATACCTACGACTTTTGTTCATACCAGCAACAAACAGACAAACCAACACCCCTCCCCCGAAGCAGCTGTTAACATCAAATTATCATTATCATAGACTTTGATTCCTGTTTTTCTTGTTTCTCTTTCTTTCTTCGTCAAACGGTGGCTTGCTTGTTCCTTGTACCTCTCGTCTCAAACTACCAACTGTCGAAATCCAACATCCTCATCTACCTCTCTGTGTTTATTTGCTGCAAGTATCATCCGGCCATCAGCTTTTCCTTATGCCAATTGCGACTGTCATTAACATCAAAGGCGCTGCGAGTTTTGTGTGTTTCTTGTACTGCATTTACATCCTTTTACTTGCGCCTTCGCTCTCTACAGTCATGTACCTACTGCGGTGTCGTTGTCTTGTTTAATCTCGAATTTCAAAATTTCCTTGATTTCCTTTATTTCCTTCATATCTCTTCATTTTTCTCTCAGTCTCATCGAGTCTCTCTGAGTTGATGTAGTGGGGGTTCTGGCTAATGGCTGTATCAGTCGCATCTTGCCTCTGATATTGCCTGAAGGAAACAGCAAAAATATTGCTTCGGGTCTCTTGTGTTCTCTGCAGCTATGGCTTGGGCTTCCGTATGGTTGTCCTATCGACCAAAATAGTCCCTTTCTTTGTTATTTATTGGATTCAATGGACGGGTTGAAAATATCAATACTGCTTCTTACATTCTATATTAAGAGCGTTGAAGCCGATCAATAGCCGGTAACTTTTGTAATAATACGCATACAAATCTGACGCCAATCCCAAATATTTGGTGTGTATTGTAATGAACATACACAAGAAAATTACGCCGAATTATGACTTCAAAATTTCATATTTTGTCGCAAACAAGCTGAAGCTGTGCAAAAGAGCTTTTGGTTGACGCTTACCCGGCGTTTCTTAACGAATTTTCTAATAGGATCAATTCGTCTCACACGACCGCATACTCTTACCTATTTTTATCTGTTTTCTAGATATCCCTTTCAGTCGAGAAACATGCCGCCAAATCCCCCGCCAAATAGACCACCCGCTGGAAGAGGGCAGCCAAGCAGTTCAGAGAGCTCCTCGGCTACTCCAGGGCCATCGGGGACAGGAGGCACGGGCCGTGGGGGCTCAGCGAGCGTCAGAGGACGACCGGTGCAGCGATTACAATCTCTCAAGAAGCGAACGCCAGGCGGCAGTCTGGTGCCACTGAATGCGGACGGCTCAACACCCAAGCCAACACTAAAATTCCAGCCGAAGGTGGTGACACGGAAGAGCAAAGAACAAAGAGATGCGCTAGAGAATCTTGAAGCTCAGAGGCTACGGGAAAGAATATCTGCGGCCAATGCTGCACGACGGACAACACGAGGAGGAGGAGACAGAGGCAGAGGCAGAGGGCGTGGCAGGGGCGGCGCGAGTGGTGCATCTGGACCTCTAGGGGAAGGAACAGGGCCAGGAAGACATGGAGGCGCCTGGAAGGGTAAAGGCGGCCGCTCTGGTAAAATATCTGGCTTTTATGGAGTGAAGAATGAAGCCGGTGCAGACGGAGAACAGATTGGTGGAGATATCTCTTCTGACGAAGGAAGTGATCACGGACTACGGTTTAGCATCGACCATATCAACTTCGAGAGTGATTCGGAAGGGGAGGCACTCGAGGCCGGTGCCATGACGAAGGGAAAAGCGTCCATGGGAAAATCTACGCCTACGGGTGGAAGCCGTGGACTTCGGCCGGTGCGTGTTGAGAGGCATGAACATGTTGAACGCTCCCTTGGTATTCCCACTGAATCAAGCTCAAGTTTAAGCAAGTCTGCTGAGCTCAGGAAAAAGGCTAAGGAGAAGGCTGGAGCTGCGGATGATAGCCTCTTTGTCGAGGATGACCAGTCTGAGTCTGATGTTGATGGAGGTGACGATGATGTGGTTATGGGAGATATAAAAGAGACTGACCCTACGTCGGATGGCCCTCAGATCAAAGCAGAACCCACTGATGACGATGCTACCATTGATGATAGTGTCCCTCCCGCTCCGTCTGAAAAAGCTGTCCCGAAACCACGAGTTAAACCAAGAAAGGTCAAGGATCCAAAGAAGAAGCTACAGACCGAAGAGGAGCGACAGGAATATGACCGTTACGAAGAGGACATTGATTACTTGAAATCCACACTCGGGAGCCTATCTACAACGGCAGGAAATGCCCCTGATACCTCCGCCACTGCTGAGGTTGGGAAGAAGGATGAGGATGACGCAGAGACCTCTGCAAAGCCAGCAACTGATGAACGCCAGGGCCAGCTATTTCTACTCCAGTTCCCCCCGATGACCCCCAACCTAGTGCCGCCAACGCCTGAGAAGAACGGAGCAGCTGGGCAAGCCGATGAAGCTGTTGTTGAAACTGCTACACCTCTGCCTGTTGCTGGTACAGCCCCGGCAGCCCAGGGCTCTGTGACTATCAAGCAGGAAGAAGGCGCTGTCAACCCGGCTTCCACAGCGAGCACTGCACCTCCTCTCGTCACAGCAACAAACAGCACTTTGCCGCGCGGACGAGTAGGGAAGCTGAACATACACCGATCCGGCAAAGCAACCATTGACTGGGGCGGCGTCAGCTTTGAGCTCACGAAGGGCAGCACCGTCGGCTTCATACAGGATGCCGTGATACTGTCGGACAACATGGCTGGGGCCGCTGACGGCAGCGCTTCGATCCGCGACAAGAAGCTCTGGGCCATGTCTCAGGTCACTGGCAAGTTCGTCGTTACCCCCGACTGGGACAAGATCTTAGATGAATGATTTGATAGCCTGCTACATATCATTTTGTGATCTTCTTGAATCCATGTCAGATAACTAGCTACTTCACCACCAACTTCGCTACCGCCGTCATCCAGCCTCCTTCCAGCTCCTGTGCCTGGCTAGCTGTGACTGCCAGCACCATCGCCGCCCATGTATCTCTACCAACATCTCCCTGGCCTCATCAACTCTCGTTGTCTCTCGTCGAGCTTTCCTGGTGAGACAGATTTGCATAGGTTTTAAATTTAATACTAGCTCCCACGTGACCATCTTACGTGTCGCCAGCAGCAGAAAAGGGAGCGAACTTTGATCAAACATCGAAAACATCGAACGGATCAAACCAAACGACAGGCCAGCTATGAATACTATCTAAACTGGTTGCTGGTCGGCGTCAGTTATTCATAATCCCTTATTCATCTCGCTGACAGCTTCCGTTCGAGCTCGCCTGAATTGACGCAGCGCGCACTCGCACGCACTCGCCACGCAGTCAACGCCAACTATCGACCACCTCCTTGAATATCTATCCAACTCGCATCGGCCTTATATCTGTGTATTTGTTTACAAAATATGTGGTTCTCAAAGGGTCCAGTCCTGCTGGCTATATGCTCTCTTCTATCTACCAGCGTTTTCGCCGCTGACCGCGCCCCATCCGTGTCATCACCTACACCTGCCATAAGACAACGATCTGACGAAGTACACGATAACCCCCCATTACCATCAGACTCAATTATCAAGGAACGAGCTATTGTCGATGCCCCACCAGATCCAGTGCCAACCGTACCTACGCAGGTGTCTCCAATCACAACATTCTGGCTCGACGGAGTGCAGAAGGTATACACGCAGACATTTCCGCCTTTCCCTGACCCATGGCCATCTCCAATGGTAGGACAGATAGGCCTGGGAACGCTGAAGGGAGAGATCGGAAAGACAGTTACGATCAAGGGTCGCAGTGTCCCTACCGATGAGCCTGAGCCAATGTTTGCGCGCCAGTGTCGAACACTCGAGTGCGGTAAAAGTCGCGAGCAGAAAGCTGAGAGAGCTGCTGGGCTAGAGGACACTGCTTGATTCTAGACCGGGCGCCCTGTGTGTTATTGCGCGGAGTTATTTTTTCACGTTTTACCAGTGCGAGTGGATCTTGTGTAATGATTTGATATTTATGCCATCACTGGCAAGCATATATATGGAGTTTTTTGGGGCAGTTTCTTGCTATTTAGACATGTATAATATTTATTCTTCTACCTCTGCTTCTTTCTTGGTACTTCTTCCAGGATGTTTCTGGTTAGACCTTCAGATAGGATGGAATATCAGCCTCCACAACCCAGATCTCCCTCCACATCGACAGATCCTGCATCCTGGCGAGTCTGTAGCTATAAATGTATCCCCTTAAGCCCCCCCCGACGCCCAACGGGCTACTTATCCTTCTAGTTAACCAAATAGAACCGTGGTTCAGGTAAACATATCTCCGACAGATGCGCCATCCGTGACTTGGCGGGTCACCAGATCTGCGGCAACACCAAAAAAAAAAGATACATCATCGACTATTCAACAGCTCCTTTTTTTTTCCCACTACCCACCCTCAGTTTTGATAACTTGTCTCTACAATCTCCTTCGTTCCAAAGGCGAATGGTGCACACTCTGGCCTGTCGGATCCTGGCATTTTGCGCATCCTTGCCACTTTGCCCTATATATTGAGCCTCGAAACGCGAATCCTGCTAGCGGCCACTTCGATCGGACTAAGCTGCCAGCACCAAGGAGGACACCCTTTTCTCCTTTGCTTGCTTTTCTACGGGCTATTACTGCTGGACTGCACTGAGCATGAGCATATACAGCCTGCTGCTGGAGAGGTTTTCGGTCTCTGGAGCTCGCTGTGGTAGCTCGGTGCCATGTAGCGTCGTCCTTCCTGCCGCATGGATTGACCAATGTTTCGAGCCCTAGGACCTCTGCCATTTGGCATGGCCTCTTTGAGCCCTACGACGGTGTTTGTCGCTCTCGTCCTCATCTATATCTCCTCCTTTGTTCTCTTCGCGATCATCCGCATCGCTACCGGCGTCTCCATACAGCGGATCGGCTACTTTTCACTACGACACATCGCATATTCGCCGCGGGAGGGGGTTTATATCAAGTTCGGAGGTATTGGGATTTCGGTGCATAGACCCTCGCTCGTCCAGCCTACATACGTTAGCCTGCGAATTAAACGAGCTACTGTCGCGCTTGATTTGAAGGCCCTTGCGAGCTCGCGTCGCAGAGCTGCCACTGCTGCCGCTACTGCTGGACATACGCCAGAGGGCCTGGCAAAGGATGGAACTAGAGCTGCGCAAGAGAGTGATGTCGTGGGTAACGGTAACGGCAATGCTAGCAGTGATGGAAAGACCAGGAAGAAGTCAGCGTCCTGGGAGAGGACGTGGAAGACCCTGAAGGGAGTTAAGGAGAGATTGAAACGTTTGCTCAGACAGATCAAATGGTTGGCTTTGATTGATATCTCGGCTACAGAGACTACACTTCGCATACGAGATGCAGGAGAACTTCATATTGGCGCCCTCACCATGTCCCTGGATGCTAGGCGTAAAGTTATGCAAGGTGGAAAGCAGTTTCGACAGTACGAAGATGCTTCGGAAGAGAAACGTTTTCCAGAATGGATATTTAACGCCCGCAATATACTCCTGGCGGTAGATGGCTGTGAACATAAGGAGATATTTGATAATATCGGAATTAATGTTCATGGACTTCTTCAAAATGGCATGGAAGGGCTACGGGAGGTCTCTATTTCGGTCAAAGTGGGGAGGTTTCATATCCCGTATGACGATGTCCGTTCTATCCTACTACGGATGAAGCTGCTTTCGTTACCAGATGATATGACTCCAGACGCTGGAACTTCTTGCGAAGACACTGATGACGAAACTGCTCTGGGAAATATCATGGAAGAATCGGACACTGAACAGCAGGATATCCATCAAGAGGAGGTCATGTCCCATCATCTTACTGAATCGAAGGCGTTCCTTACCTCCTTAATACGCGGAATCCAGGACTTCCAACTCGCTTTGAGTTTCTTCCGTGTCTCAAGCACCGTGGAAAATCCAGAGCCCATGGAAAAGCCCCTCTATTTAAATTTCTACACTCACGAGGTGGGTGTTGACTTTCATAGAATGGACCCAGCCCATCCATCACACAGAATGTACTTTCAGCGTGACGACGTTGCCCATCAGGCTTTGATAGCCGCCATCTCATCGTCAGTAT